GAAGGCTTTCTTAAAATTATTTAACATACATTCAAGAGGTGTATTTCCCCCCTTTGAACCCCCAACTCCCATTGTATGGCCCTGTGAAGTATCCACTCAGTCACTCACACACACACCTTACTGGGAAACGAAGTAGCACTCACTCCACACTTAGGTCAGCTACACATTGTACTTTCTCACACATGCAATGCGCTAGATACTTTAACCACACACTACCTCCCAACTTCCCTTTTCCCTACACCAGATCACCATCTGATGTACCCAGCCACCTAGCGTACTCAGTTCCCCTTTACTGAGACGCAGAAGTTTGATCAGGACTTCTCTTCCTCCCAATTAATTGGAGGGCCAAAACCCCTTAGTGCACTTACCCTTAGCTGGTTCCCTGTTTATTTCTCTGGTCCCCCCCCGGTCCGTCGCCGTCGGTGGGCAGGGTATCAGACAGACGAGACTGCTGCGTTCCCCTGGAAAAAAATTTTTCCATTGCGCGCTGAGTAGGCAGTGAGTGATCCTCTGTCTTGTACCCCGCTCAGTAGGCGAAGGAGCTGCGTTCCAGCAGACCACTGATCCGAGTCGCAGGCACCATAAAATGTAGCACCCTGCTTGTGGTTAACGCTTAGCTGGAATGAAATATTCAACGCAGCAACAGAGAAATTAAAACAATAATTTATTTGTCAGACAAATAAATAAGAGGCACAGTGGTATATGATTACCAAGCTCTGGCCTGCCTCCTGCCATTATGGCCAGCACTTATATTCCCTTAATCCAGCCCCCTTTGCTCCTCCTTGGGCTGCCTCTGTCCCATCAGCCTGGTTGGATTTCCTATTGGCTGATTAGTATAACCAATCACAAAAATACACTCATTTCCTATTGCCTTTTATGGGAGACAAAGAGCTATATATAAATGACAAATAAGTAATAATATATCTTACATGGAATCTTAATTACCAGCTCACCTCTTGCCCTATTGCCTTCTAAAACAAATGGTTAATCTTAAATTTTTATCTTAAAAATATGTCAAGGATCTTGAGTTTCACATCAATATTGAAAGATATCCTTCATTTGAAGGTTTCTAAACAAATATCTGACAGCTAATATATCAGGACAGCATTTGATGGCGTCTTCTTGTCTGGCAGGGGGCTGGACTGGTGGCTGACTTAATTTCAAGATAAATACAACTCTTCTAGCATTTGTTAAATCCTTTGCATAATTACATTTAAGCCAATATATTTAAGCTAATATATTTCATACATTATCATAGGTAACCTTTTAAAAGGAATAAGGCCTTTTTAAAGTAGAGAGAGAAAGGAAAAAAAAAAGAACTCAGTTTAAAACAGTTTCAGAAGAAGGCTCTTCAGTTTACACCCCCCCCCTTCAGCAAGCTGCTTTTCCCATTATCTGTTTAAGGAAGAAACAGCTTTAAAAAGACTTCCCAGCTAGATGCTTTAAAAGGACTTCCCAAAAAGCCTCTCTTTCTCTGTCAGCTAGATGTTTTTTCTCCCATTTGCCTCTGGCCTTAGAAAATACAGCTCAAGGTTTAAAAGAGGCCCATGGTATTATTTTACTGTTTACTCATCCCTAATTATGTAGGGTCTGTGTAACCTTGGTCTTCAGCCTGTAATTCCAGCTTTTACGACTTAGTTGTATTCTACAGCATGCAAGGTCAGTGACCTGCTTCTCAGCCTTTCTATGACCGCAATAAACCAGGGGCCCTTTGCTTGCCAGCTGCTTGCTGGAGCCGCTTGCTGGTTTTCTACCTTGGAAGAAACATTATTTTTAGAATTTTAGGAACCTGATCAAATATAAGCCAATATAAGTCTTGATTAAAATTGCAGTCTATATTCAGATGCCACAAAAGTGCGTCCTATAGGGCGAAAAATACGGTAGTTTTCATTGAAAATTTCAACATGACAAGTTATCAAAACATATCATCTAATTTTCACCCCCCCATTCTTTCCCCCTCCCCAAAAAGAAACCCTCTCTCGCACCCCCAACCCCGAGACGTCCCTCAGTTCCTCTCTTTGATTTTTCAACACATATTATTCTCTGCATATTATCAAACTGTCAGGATCCTTGAATCGTCTGTCTATTATGTTAACAGCCAATAAGTTTGTGTATGTTTATTCGAAACCTGCCAAGGAGTCCAATTCATTTTGTTGTTTCTTTAAGTACTTTGTAAAAGGTTCCCATCATTCTTTAAAGTCGCAGTTGTCCTTGTCCCGTTGTTTGTGTGTCAATTTTGCCAGTTCTGCATAGTCTGTCAATTTTTCTTGCCAGTGTGAGTGTGAGTGTTTGGAGAGGGCGGTGTCCGGTGCCCCCCCAGGAAAGTAATCTCAGTCTAGTAAGGTTGCAGATCAGAAGCAGAACGGAGCAGGGAAAATACTTAAGATTGTAGCTAAAATACGGGGCCAGAAGGCTCTCACCATTATTTTGGCCTTTTAATAAATAATAATAATAATAATAATAAATTTATTTATACCCCGCCCTTCCTGGTTTAAAAACCGGGCTCAGGGCGGCTAACAGCAATTATAAAACATTGATTAAAATGCGACTTAAAAACAGCATAAAACACAGCATAAAATGCAGCAGCAATATCAATAAAATTAAAAAATTCAGGGGTAATTTCAGGGGCAGGGACCCAGCCAGTATACATCAAATGATCACCAGGGCTAACTGGCCAAGTTGGTCCTACTAGGGCCAGCAAGGAGACCAGGGAAGGATTTAAATGTGGGGTCCCAGAAAGGGTTTCTTCGTAGAAGAGGAAGGGCGAAAGGGAATAGAGAATCAGGCTAATTCAAATTAAAGGCCAGGCGGAATAGCTCTGTATTACAGGCCCTGAGGAAGGAGTTTAAATCCTGCAGGGCCCTGGTCTCATGGGACAGAGCATTCCACCAGGTCGGAGCCATCACTGAAAAGGCCCTGGCCCTGGTGGAGGATAGTCTGGCTTCCTTAGGCCCGGGACCTTTAAGCTATTATTATTCATGGACCTTAGGGTCCATGTTGAGCAGGGGGACCTGGGGGTCCTCAGCCCCAGAAGGAAGTGCAAGAACAGCCTTTGACCCCTTCTCTAGGCTGCACACTCCCTGGCCCCAGTGCCTTCCCAGAGGGCTTCAGCCTGGCTGGGATGTGTCCTTCACCTGAGACTTTGGAACTCCCTGCCTCTTGAAATCAGGTGCATTTGCTCTCTTCTCTTTGGTGCCTGATTTATTTATTTATTATTGTTTAGCCTATCCAGATATCTAGAAGTTACCTGGGTTTTATTTCTTTTTAGCTACCCATCTTCCTACATTTTTATTTATGATCTCAGTGTTTCATTTTATACTTTGGCAAACCGTTCAGAGGTTCTCTTGCAAGCAAGCGGCAAATCTAAATATTGTTAAATGAAACGAATAAATGATGCATTTTGCTTGCCTAGATGGATGCTGGAAATGCAAATTTTTTTGGGGGGGCACAGCAGCCTGCTTGTAGAAAACCTTGACTCTGACTGTACCTGGGGAAAAGCTCCTCCCACTTTTGCCTCTGGCTCCGCCCACCAGGAATACATGCCTCCCTGGAAGATTTCCCAGGGGAAATGCCTCCATTGCCTGTTTTGCTCAAATGGGCTCCTCACCCCTGGTGTAGTAGGCAATGGGTCTCCCCTGGCGGATTGGGGCCCACGACTTGGCTGCAGGATGACCTGCAAAGGCCGTCTTGGCCCAAGGCAGCTCCCATCAACGCAGATGTTCCCTGCAGCCTCAGGGAGGATTTTTACCGAAAGTCAGTTTGGACCTTTGGTTCCTAAACTTTTCTGGGCCTGCTTGGTTCCATGAACTCGTCTCCAGTGCCCCCCACCCTAGGCAAAAAACACTATTGGGAATAGTGGTTCACAGGACCTCCTAAGGAAGATCACATCCCAATTGCACACTTATGAATTGCACACTTATTCAAAATGCGCTTGCAATCGGGTGAACTTGAGACAGCGATACTCGCTTTTAAAAGTTTGCATTGCAAGGGTTCGACTAGATGGACTTCAGAGTCCCTTCCAACTTTATAATTATATGGTTTTATGTAAGATTAACTGTAGAACTTTTAGAAGACACCTGAAGGCAGCCCTGTATCGGGAAGTTTGGAATGGCTGATGTTTTATAATGTTTTTATATCTGCTGGAAGATGCGCAGAGTGGCCGGGGCAACTCAGTCGGATACCCGCAGTACACATAATAAAACAATGATGGAGAAATTGATTATCTTTTACTCCTCCAGCCCCTGTTTGCCTCCCCCTTGCCTTTAAGCGTCCCTCTAGGTAATAATAGGGACGCAGGTGGCGCTGTGGGTTAAACCACAGAGCCTAGGACTTGCTGATCAGAAGGTAGGCGGTTTGAATTCCCGCGACGGGGTGAGCTCCCGTTGCTCCGTCCCTGCTCCTGCCAATCTAGCAGTACAAAAACACACCTGTGCAAGTAGATAAATAGGTACCACTCCGGCGGGAAGGTAAACGGCGTTTCTGTGCGCTGTTCTGGTTTGCCAGAAGCGGCTCAGTCATTCTGGCCACATGACCCGGAAGCTATACGCCGGCTCCCTCGGCCAATAAAGCGAGATGAGCACCGCAACCCCAGAGTCGTCCACGACTGGACCTAATGGTCAGGGATCCCCTTTTACCCTCTAGGTAATAATAGAATTGTAGGATTGCAGAATGGGAAGGGACCCCCCGAGTCATCTAGTCTAACCCCCTGCAGTGCAGAAATCAGCTCCACCCCAGGGGAGGTCTAGACCCATCCCCAAGCTGAATGCCTGCAGGAGATCAGGATGGCCGCTGCCCCCCAGCGAGCCCCCAGGTGGTTAGTGGGGGCTGGTGGGAGTTGTAGTTTTCCCCGGGGGGTGCCCAGGTTGGCCAGAAGCTGGCCTGGAGAGTTGGGGGTCTGTATCTGCATGGCTGTGCAGAGGGTCTCTGTGTTGACCAGATTCAGGCAGAAAGGATGAATTGGGGGCTTTTCCTCCTCTGACTTGATTTCTCTCCTCCCCCAGACTGTGAGCCCCCCTTGAAGAAGGAGGGGGGGCTGCCCGAAGGTCCCGTCCTGGAAGCCTTGCTGTGCGCCGAGACGGGAGACAAGAAGCCGGAGATGAAGGAGGAAGAGCTCATCCTGGACTGTCCGGTGAGAGAAGCCAGGACCGCCAGGCTCACCCCTAAGCAGGCCTAGTTCAACTCTGGAACTCCCTGCCACAAGAGGCAGAGGGTGGCTTTAAAAGAGGATCGGGCAAATTCGTGGAGGAGGGGAGGGCCCAGATGGTTAGATGCCACCACAGATGGAGGCAGCGATGCTTCCGAATGTCTGTCACTGGGAACCACAGGAGGAGGTGGCGCTCTTGTGTTCGAATCCTGCTTGCAGGATTTCCCATATAAAAGTCATCTGGTTGGCCACTGTGAGAACAGGATGCTAGACTAGATGGTCCAGTCGCCAGGATCATATTATGTTGTTGTGGAACCTCCAGCTCCAGATGCAGTCTACCTGGATCCCTAGGTTCTATGGGGCATTTTCTCCCTGGGAGGACAGGAGGCTGGAGTAGATGGGCCCCCTTTGGCCTGATCTTGAAAGCGCTCCTTGGGTGCTCAGGAAGAATCCAATCAGGGCAGCGATCATTGGGCGGCCTGCTTCCTGGGTCTGTTGTGTTGTTGACTGCGAGAGGAGGGGTCCCTGCCCCTCTCACTTCTCCCTCTTTTTCTTTTATATAATTTTTAATTGTGGTTTTTTTAACATACCATTTTTAACAGTAATTAAACATATTTTTACATCTTATTCAATTTTTTTGACTTCCATCAGTCCAGCCAGATGGGCGGGGTGTTGCTGTTTGTTGTTTAGTTGTTTAGTTGTGTCTGCCTCTTCATGACCCCCTGGACCAGAGCAGGCCAGGCACTCCTGTCTTCCACTGCCTCCCGCAGTTTGGTCAGACTCATGTTTGTGGCTTCGAGAACACTGTCCCACCATCTCGTCCTCTGTCGTCTCCTTCTCCTTGTGCCCTCCATCTTTCCCAACATCAGGGTCTTTTCCAGGGAGTCTTCTCTTCTCCTGAGGTGGCCAAAGTCTTGGAGCCTCAGCTTCAGGATCTGTCCTTCCAGTGAACACTCAGGGCTGGTTTCCTTCAGAATGGAGAGGTTTGATCTTCTTGCAGTCCATGGGACTCTCAAGAGTCTCCTCCAGCACCAGAATTCAAAAGCATCCATTCTTCGGCGATCAGCCTTCTTTATGGTCCAGCTCTCACTTCCATATAGCTCACTTCCACCATAGCTTTAACTATACAGACCTTTGTTGGCAAGGCGATGTCTCTGCTTTTGAAGATGCTGCCTAGGTTTGCCATCACTTTTCTCCCAAGAAGCAGGCGTCTTTTAATTTTGTGGCTTCTGTCACCATCTGCAGTGATCGTGGAGCCCAAGAAAGTAAAATCTCTCACTGCCTCCATTTCTTCCCCTTCTATTTGCCAGGAGGTGATGGGACCAGTGGCCATGATCTTCGTTTTTCGTATAAATTATTATTATTATTATTATTATTATTATTATTATTATTATTATTATTATGAAGAAGAAGAAGAAGAAGAAAAAATTCCAATCTAATCTCTTAGTATAGATTTATTATTTTCCCTGTTACATTTAAAACTCATAACCAATATCTCTCTTCTTTATCTACTTTGCAGCACTTCATATATTCCTCCTTACATAACTTCTTGCAGTCCCGCTAGCGTAATTTGTTGGTTACAATTGCTTTTCAAATGGTTCATATACTTCTTTCAATCTTCTGCAAATCTCTGGTCAGCGGTCATTGGGCTTCTGGAGCTGTTGACTGCGAGAGGAGGGGTCCCTGCCCCTCTCACTTCTCTCTCTCACGCTTTGCAGAAGGCGCCGATTGGGGAATTTCTCCACGACTTGGACACGGACGACCTGGAGGACGACGTCCCTCGCCGGAAGAACAAGGCCAAGAGCAAGGTGGGGCAAGGAAAGGGGGCAGGCGGGGGGCAAAGGCTTCTCAACCGTCTCAAGTCCCAGCCTGAAGAGCCAGCAGACCCTTCACTGTTATAGCAATGGCGGCTCAATGGAGCCTCCAGAGACAGGGGCAGTCTACCTGCAAGTGCCCAAGGCAGGGCCTCGGCAGCAGGGAAAGGCCAAGGTTTGCTTGGGGGGCTTCTCAGAAGCGACTAGCCAGCCCCTGTCGGGAAAAGGAAGCTGGAGCTTCCGCCCAACCCTGCAAGGCTGGTTTTCTTGGGCTCGGAGCATGGGAGTGGGGCAGTTGGAGATTTGGGGAGTGGGCAGTCCTCTTCAAGGGGAAGTTTAGCCCTCCAGCCTCCCCACCCCAGTCCTGCTTTACGGCGATGGGGCTCGTTGCCAATTGGATCGTGTGAGACGCAAGTGCCCCTGAGCACATGCAGAGTGCCTCCGCTCCTCTCCTTGGAACAGAGGACAGGGAAGATGGTCCCGGGATCAACCCCTGCCAGCCTTTTCCAGGGCTGAGAAAGGGTCCCTCTCTCAAGCCCCTGGGAGCCTGCAGCTGCCTGTCAGAGTAGACGCCCCATAGCTGGAGGAACCAGAGTCATGGCTCAGCGTAGGGCACTTTGGGTGAGCATCATAGATTCGTAGAGCTGCAAGAGGCCCCATGGGGTCATCTAGTCCAACCCCCTGCAATGCACGTTGGGCCGGGGGGGCCCACTTCGGGGGGGGCACCTGAGGATTTCCGCCCTCCCCCAAAGACCGGCCTGCAAAGCAGCTGCCAGCTGTGCTGGGACAACAGGTGCAAAACTCCTGCCAGGAGGCACCTCCCTCTCCTTTCTCCTCTTGGCTCCAGAAATTTGGGGCCCCCAGGCACGGTGCATGCTGTGGGGGCCCCTGTGAAAATGAGGGTCCTCTTCTGCTGCCACTGAGCCTCTGGCCCCTTTTTTGTGCAAAGTGGCACCCTAATCTCCCCCGCCCCCATTCCTCCTCCTCTTGCAAAACCATCCAAAATAGGTCAGCCTCCTTATGATTGGCTTCTGCTCAAATCACATTCCTTAATCTGCGTTTAAAGCTGCAAGCCACAGAGGCGTGTTTTGGGATTTCGGCAAGACCAGGCTGAATTTGCTTTTTGCTCTGCCCCCACCCCACCCACCCGGCCTTGTTATTTTGCTCGACTTCTGCATTTCGACCTTAACCGACTTGCAGTTCGGCTCTTGCAAAGCTCAGGCTGCTTATCTCGGCTCACCTGAAGCTCGGCGAATTCGGCGTCTGCTTCAGCAGCTCAGCTGTTGCCGAGTTCCCCCGGTTGGTTGGGATAATTGCTGGGAAAACTTTGCAATGATGAAAACATTGAAGCTGGGTGCTGAACCGGCCAACAGACCCTTCTTAGGTTCTTATGGGGCCTCCAAGCCCAGGCGCAGTCTATCTGGATTCTGAGGTTCTATGGGATATTTGGCCACTGTGCATAGCTGTCAACTTACAGATTTGAAAACAAGGGACCAGCAGCCTCGAAAATAAGGGATCAGCAGCCAAAATAAGGGATTTTGCTTAGTTTATGCAGAAATCCGCCACTGATGGAGCCATGCTGCTTTGGCTGCGACTGACTGTGTTTTGCAGGGGGTTGGACTAGATGATCCTAAGGGTCTACAACTCCCACCAAAGAAGAAGGGCAGACAAAACTGATGAACGATGTCGAGATGGCAAAGCTTACAGGCAGAATTAGAAACCAGGAAGAGGACCTCTTTCATAAAGAATGGGGAAATCATTTAGTTGAGAAGCTATTGTAAAGAGTTACATACATTGGTAGGATTGACAGAAAACTTGTAGTAAAAATTTGAACTATGGATGGACAAAGGATTTATAAAAATAGAGTTATGAAAGGGATGCAGAGGGGGAAATCACTACATTAAGATGCTGCACTGGCTGGAGGGGGTGCTAAGCAGCACATCGTGGCGGACGTCTCGCAAGAGAGGGGCTGCCTGCCCGCCCATTGCCACCCATCTCCTCACGACGCACCCCTGAGGGGGGAAAGGGAGAGAAGGAGACGCGGCAGCTCGTGCGCTCTCTCTCTCGCGGCGGAGGACCCTGAGCCGCTGCTTCCCTCCCGAGCTGGGTGAGCATGGAACCCGGGAAATTTAAGGGGCATCATCAATAAGGGACAGCAGCAGGACACGGCGCTGGGATAAGGGAGTTTCCCGCCAAATAAGGGACGGTTGACAGCTATGCCACTGTGAGAACAGGAGTTCTGGACTGGATGGGCCAAATTGGGCCTGAACCAGCTGGCTAGTTTCATGTTCTCATGAGCTGAATGCAAGCTCTCCCTCTCCCCGTCTGCCATGCCCATGAGGTCTAGGAGCTTGCTTTTTATTTAAAAACAGACTGCATCAGCACTGAGACCAGCCTGTCTCTCTTCCCCAGGCCTACGGCATCGGGGGTCTGCGGAAGAGGCAGGACGCAGCGCTGCTGGAAGACCGAGACAAGCCTTATGTCTGCGACAGTGAGTGCCCCTTTGATGGGGGTTTGGGGCAAGGGGTGGTGGTGGGTCGCAGTGGGGCCAGGGGAGTGTTCCTGCTGCCGGTTCCTGGCTCAGGAGAAGCAGCCCCCAGGGATGTCTCCAAATGCTTAGAGGAGGGGGCAGAGCACAGGGCGCTGAATGGGCAGCTCTGTGGGTCTGGGGGACTTCGGGGTGGAAGCAGGGGGCGGGGAGCTGTGGCCAAGAGCCAGGGATGGTGTGGAAGATGTGGGGAAGCTGTTGGGAGTGCAGAATGCTGCAGCGCGATTGTTGAGCGGAGACAGGTCTTGTCCGCATGTAAATCCAATGCTCAGATTGCCAATTTGCTCCTGGGCCGAGTTCCAGGAGTTACTCTTAGTATCTTGGTTGTAAGTTGCTTTGGGCTGACAAATTTAATAAATATAACCATGAATAAAGAAGACCCCTTAAGCACTTGGGACCAGTTTGCCTGTGAGATTGAATTGGCCCTACCACAAAATTCCCCTTCTGTATTTGGAAAAACTCCATAATTTAGTGTGGTGGCACCTACACTGTGGAACTCCCTGCCACTTGATATCAACCAGGCGCCTTCACAGCAATCTTTGCAAACCTGTCTGGATTTTACAGTTTTATCCTTTAGTAAAGCGCTTAGAGGTGTTCTTTTTGCAACTGAGTGGTACATGAATTTTATGAAATAAAGAGATAAATAAGTTGTCGTCCAGGAACACCTGGAGTAGATCCCTTACTGGGAGATGGGAGTGGGGTGGGGAGGGGAAATAGGGACAGGGCTGTATTAGAGGCAGGGGGTGGGGTTGATGGGTGACCCTCTTCCAGGGGGTTAAGCGCAGGGGTTGCCTCTTCCAGGGGATGGGACCCCCACCCCCAGTTTACCCATTTTGAGAAAGTCCCCTGGGTGCCAGCTCAGTTGCAGAGCACATGTTTTGGATGCAGAGGGTTCTGGGTTCAATTCTTGCCGGCATCTCCAGTTACAGATGGGAGAGAGCCCAAAGTTCTGGAGAGTTGCTGCCAACCAGTGTAGGCAGCACTGAACTAGATGGACCAGTGGCATAAGGGAGATTCCTATGTTCCTGTGCCCTGTGGGTTCTTTTCACCTGCCAGGGATTCTTGAGCATGGCGGGGCAGGGGGTTGGGCTGGATGACCCTCTGGGGTCCCATTCCATCTCCACCATTCTACGCTGCTTCTTCCTTTTCAGTCTGTGGGAAGCGCTACAAGAACCGCCCGGGACTCAGCTACCACTACACTCACACGCACCTGGCAGAGGAGGAGGGCGAAGAGGGGCCCGAACGCCACACCCTCCCCTTCCATCGCAAGAACAACCACAAACGTGAGTGACCCTCCCTGGCCACCTCTCCTTTGGCTGCAGGGAACGCTTAACCCCACCACCCGAAAGAGGGATCAGGGTTTGAATCCCCACTCATTGGCCATGAAACTCCCCGGGTGACTAGAGCCTAACCTACCTCGCAGGGTTGTTGCTGCTGCAGAGATTAAATGAGAACTAGGACTTGGGAAAGACCTGGGTTCGAGTCCCCCCTCATTGGCCACAAAGCTCCCTGGGTGACCTTGGGCTAGACACGGTCCTGCTCAGCCTAACCTACTTTGCAGGGTTGTTGTGAAGATGAAACGGGGAGGAGGAGAAGGACCTTGGAGGAAAAAGTGGCACATAAATGCAATTTTGCTTGGGGGAGAAAGTGGCATATAAATGCAAAGAAGGAGCGAATGAGAGCGTAGTTTGCAGGCCTCCAGCATCTCCAGCTAAGGAAAGGGCTTTGGTCTGAAACCAGGAGAGCCGCTACAGGACTACATCTCCCATCAGTCTCTGCTGCGGTGGCTGGGGAGGATGGGAATTGTGGTCCACAGCATCCCAAGGGCACCAGGTGGGCAGTGGCTGCTGAGAATGCCCAGCCAGATGAGCCAAAATGCAAGAGGCTGTCCAAGAAGCGAGCGAAGAGCCACTGCTGCCTCTAAATAGTGCCCAAAGGGGAATATTTTATCCCCTTGGGCTATGCCTTGGAAGACGTGTGGTTTTGATGCCAGCCTCAGGGGCAGGGGGTGTTCCTGAGGCTGTTTCCTGGGTGGGAGGCCTTGCTGGCGTGACCCAAAGGCCTCTTCCTCTCAGCCTTTGCCGCTCAGGGGTGCCCCAGTTCGATGCCAAACCCCCTCGGGCCCAGGAAAGGTCTGTCTTGGGCTGGGCGAGGCGTTGCCAGCTGGTCTGAATCAGCAGCAGAAACCCGAAGCTAAGAGATCCATGCCAGAGATCCTTAGGAAAAGGAGCTGAAAACAAAGCAGCCCATTTCACAATGCTCTGGCGTGAACACGTTTGGGGTGTCCTACGTACGGTCCTGGTTAAGGTAAAGGTAAAGGGACCCCTGACCGTTAGGTCCAGTCATGGCCGACTCTGGGGTTGCGGCGCTCATCTCGCTTTACTGGCCGAGGGAGCTGGCGTACAGCTTCCGGGTCATGTGGCCAGCATGACTAAGCCGCTTCTGGCGAACCAGAGCAGCGCACGGAAATGCCATTTACCTTCCCGCCGGAGCGGTACCTATTTATCTACTTGCACTTTGACATGCTTTCGAACGGCTAGGTGGGCAGGAACAGGGACCGAGCAACGGGAGCTCACCCCGTCGCGGGGATTTGAACCGCCAACCTTCTGATTGGCAAGTCCTAGGCTCTGTGGTTTAACCCACAGCGTCACCCACATCCTGGTTGCTTTGCCTCAAAAGCAGAGGCGGGGAAGATTTGGGAAAGGGCAGCTAAAAGAGGGAAAGGGTGCCACATTTTGTGCCTTTCTGGTTTCAGAAAACTATGAGAAGTTTATTATTTTTATTATGAGTTTTAAAAAATTATGCAGTTCCTGGAGACGGCGGGTAGTTCCCCTCCCTCTCTCGTAACACTTCTGGGCATGCAAGGAAGCAGAACGTGGGAAGGTTCGCGACAGACTTCTTTCAAATCAGAACCAGTGAAGGCGGTGAAGGTCCTGCTTGAGTGTCTGGAGGCGGTTGGAGGATGGATGGCGGCTAACAGATTGAGGTTGAATCCTGACAAGACAGGAGTACTGTTTTTGGGAGACAGGAGGCAGGCTGGTGTGGAGGACTCCCTGGTCCTGAATGGGGTAACTGTGCCCCTGAAGGACCAGGTGCGCAGCCTGGGAGTCATTTTGGACTTGCAGCTGTCCATGGAGGCGTAGGTCAATTCTGTGTCCAGGGCAGCTGTCTGCCAGCTCCATCTGGTACGCAGGATGAGACCCTCCCTGCCCGCAGACTGTCTCGCCAGAGTGGTGCTCTGGTTATCTCTCGCTTGGACTACTGCCATGCGCTCTTCGTGGGGCTACCTTTGAAGGTGACCTGGAAACTACAACTAATCCAGAATGCGGCAGCTAGACTGGTGACTGGGGGCGGCTGCCGAGACCACATAACACCTGTCCTGAAAGACCTACATTGACTCCCAGTACGTCTCCGAGCACAAGTATTGGTGCTGACCTTTAAAGCCCTAAAGGCCGCTGGCCAGTATACCTGAAGGAGCGTCTCCACCCCCATCGTTCTGCCCGGACACTGAGGTCCAGCGCTGAGGGTCTTCTGGCAGTTCCCTCACAGCGAGAAGCCAAGTTACAAGGAACCAGGCAGAGGGCCTTCTTGGTGGTGGCACCTGCCCTGTGGAACACCCTCCCACCAGATGTCAAAGAGAACAACAAGTACCAGACTTTTAGACAACATCTGAAGGCAGCCCTGTTTAGGGAAGCTTTTAATGTTTCATAGATTATTGCATTTTAATATTCTGTTGGAAGCCGCCCAGAGTGGCTGGTGAAACCCAGCCAGATGGGCGGGGTATAAATAATAAATTATTATTATTATTATTATTATTATTATTATTATTATTATTAATGCAGCACAGAGTGAAGCTGCGGAACTCCCTCCCACTGGAGGCAGGAATGACCACCAACTTCTGCCCTCCACAGTCAATGTTCCCGGATGCCAGTGTCTGGAAACCCCAGAAGGGCAGAGTTGCACCTGTGCTCGGATCCTGTTTGCGGGTTTCCCATAATGGGCATCTGTTTGGCCGCTGTGAGAACAGGATCCCGGACTGGCTGAGCCTTTGCAAGGCTCTTCTGACATTCCAACACAGCCGCATCCCAATTGGCAACAGTCTTTTAGAAACACAACCTGCCACCTCAGCTCCTTGGCTCCCTGCTTCTTGCAGAAGCTCCACCTCTGCTAGGCTGTTGCACAGTTAAGATTTTACATACGTTTGGTTGAATTAGCATATGCAAAGTGCAATTACTGGGTGGCTTCACGTCTCTGCCTTGAGATGGTGGCTGCACTGTTCCTTTCCCTTCCTCCCCCCACTGAGTGAGGGTCTTCATTTTTAACACCCCCACCCACCTGCCGATGAGGTTGCCACGGCAACCTGGTGGGTGGAGTTGGCAGGTATAATATTTCCCCCGTTTGGTCTGATTTATCATTTCAATTAAGTTGGAGATGCTTGGAGGAGCCTTGCCGTTGGTGGGGGGTTGTTGTGAGGAGGGGGCCTGGGGTGGGGGGTGGGGGAGACAGCCCTGAGGGAGGGAGCAGATGATCTGCAAACAGGGGAGAGGCAGAGGAGGTCGGGTCTGGTGCTGGTGGACTGAATTCATATCCTGGAGCCAGCTCCAGGGGGCTGTGGGTGTTTGTTGTTGTTGTTTAGTCATGTCTGCCTCTTTGTGACCCCCTGGACCAGAGCACGCCAGGCACTCCTGTCTTCCACTGCCTCCCGCAGTTTGGTCAAACTCATGCTGGTAGCTTCGAGAACACTGTCCCACCATCTCGTCCTCTGTCATCCCCTTCTCCTTGTGCCCTCCATCTTTCCCAACATCAGGGTCTTTTCCAGGGAGTCTTCTCTTCTCCTGAGATGGCCAAAGTATTGGAGCCTCAGCTTCAGGATCTGTCCTTCCAGTGAGCACTCAGGGCTGATTTCCTTAAGAATGGAGAGGTTTGATCTTCTTGCAGTCCATGGGACTCTCAAGAGTCTCCTCCAGCACCAGAATTCAAAAGCATCCATTCTTTGGCGATCAGCCTTCTTTATGGTCCAGCTCTCACTTCCATACATCCCTACTGGCAAAACCATAGCTTTAACTATACGGACCTTTGTTGGCAAGGTGATGTCTTTAAGATGCTGTCTAGGTTTGTCATTGCTTTTCTCCCAAGAAGCAGGCGTCTTTTAATTTCATGGCTGCTGTCACCATCTGCAGTGATCATGGAGCCCAAGAAATATATATTATTATGGGTGTTTTGCCATCCATAATATATTCGTGGGGACTGCCCCCCCCAAGTCAATGGGCAAAGCTGAAGCCCTTCCTTGTGGGCACCCACAATCTTCAGCATGAGAGGGCGCCTGTGCCAGGGTGGGTGCCTTTGTGCAAATGCACACAGAGGTTTGGCTTCCAAAGGCTCAATTTGTGTGAAGGCACAAGAAGGCCTCTTGATTCTGAAAAGTCTCGTGTGTGTGTGTGTGTTTGTGTGTGAGAGAGCGAAAACCCTTCCTTGGAGGTCAGAAATGAAAAATAAGTGGCATGGATGTTTATAGACGCAGAGAAGGCCTTTGACAATGTTTCGTGGACTTTTTATGAAGAAGACAATAGAAATGATGAACTTTGGGGAGGTATTTGGCAGAGGTCTTGAGGCAATCTGTTCAGGACAACAGGCCGTGCTGATTGTGAGCAATGTGATAACTGAAAAGTGTAAAATAATGAAGGGGACAACAGAAGGATGTCCCTTGAAACTGTTGTTATTTATTTTGCCCACCTGTCAGTGGTCCTTCAGCTGCGATCCCTGCATTTCAGGGGGTTGGTGTGGATGACCCTTGGGGGGGGGGCGTCTTCCAACTGTACAATTCCATGATGCCATGAAAACTCTGTGCAACTTTCTGAATATCCAATGCTCTCTGTGTTGTGTTGTGTGTGAGAATCTTTGTCCCATCGGCTGAGTCCCATCTCTGTGAATCATGACATTGAAGCAGTGTGCTCTGTGTGTTGTGTGTTATACATGTGATGGAAGGGAAGTTTGTTTTCGGGGACGGGGCGGGCAGGCGCATTAACACCCCCCAGCAACGATCTAGGAATCTGCTGTCTATTAGGCCATTTAAAATTGCTGTGTTTGAGAGAGCACTGAGGCAGTTGGGGGGGAGTGTGTGTGGGGGGTGCATTGCAAAGGGAGACTGAATGGATACGATTTTTCCCCTCCCCCCTTTTTTTTTGAGGAGGGGGCAACATCATGGTGGGGGGGCATGAACTGCACAAGGAAACGGGGTGTGGTTGGCGGAAGTCTAGCTTTCAAAGCTTGGGAGGGGGGGAGAGAGAGAGAGAGAGAGAGAGAGAGAGAGAGAGAGAGGAGAGTTCTCTCCTGCCCCCCCCAACTAACATGCATCCCATCCTTTTTTTCTAGACAGTTGCCATGGCGACCACCAGTGCATACTGATGTAGTTGGATCTGCACAAAGAGCAGGAGATTGGGGGAAGGGACTTGGTTAGCACCACAATCTCTGGAGAACGAGGGCCAGGACGCCTGGGTACCCCTCCCCACCTCGGATGGTTGGAGGGTGGGCAAGAAAATTTGCCCCATTCTGACCCAAAGGGCTGTGCCTGCTTCTCTCTGGGCTGCCCCCTCTGGGAACTTGGAGGCTCAATCCTAGAACTGGATTTTGCCTCTTTCTTAGCCGCCAGCGCCTCTTTTGCTCTTGTCCCACCCCCTTGCGCACCCCCCACCCCCCAATTACAGTGCCAAAGACTCACTTCCGTGCCCCTCCACCCCACAAACCCCTCCATCCTTTCACAAAGCTCCCCCTCCCTCTTTTTTACATATTCATTTCTTTGCTTGTCGATTCCAAAGATGCAGATATATATTTATTTTTTAAAAAACGATTCCTTTCATGGAAACCCGACTGGCTTCTTCTCACGCGGCTGATTTTGATGTGCTCCATTTTTATTTATCCCCCCCCTCCTGCTTATTTCCATTTTTTTATATATATATCTTTTTGCATGTCTGGCTTCCTCCAGAGTTTTACAAAGAGCTGAACTGGGCCCCTGAGAACCAGCGCAGGCACACAGGTAAAACCATCCCTGTGAGGCGGGGAGGCAGGAGGTGTGCCTGGTTCTCCCCCCTGCCCGCTGTCTCCTGGGGGGGGCGCAGCTGAGGCGTCCAGGTTCCAGTCCTGGGGGGCCATCCTTTTCTTGCCTCGGTTCCCCCTTCCTCACCCTGCCGGCCGCTTCTCCAGAGTTGTGGTGATCCACCTGGGGGGGGGGCTCTTGTTTGAGAGAGCCCCCCCCCGAACCAAAATCCAAACGCTCCCTCCTTCTGCAACCAGGAGAGATGAAATTCTTCTGTCTGGGGGGTTGGGGTCACTCCCTGCTCTGCTGATTTCATCCCCCTCCTGCGAGGCATTTCAAATGAATTTGGGCCAAAGATGGGCTGCAGGGCAAGGGGGAAGGAGGCCTTGGGGAAGGAGGCCTTGTGGACTAGAAACTTAGGGCACAGATGACGAAAATGCATGGGCTATATTTGTGATGGATGCATGTGTTCATGGGCTGCCAAGCCCCCTCGCGGCAGGATTGCTGCCCCTGCATGAGGTGCTGATGGCGCACTGGGGCGTTTGTCATGTGTGGAAGGAAGCGCCAGCCCCCTTCCCCAGCTGCATGTGGACCAGGGGCCAGCAAAAGTCCTGCAGCGCAGTGGGTTGGGCTAGATGACCCTGGGAACCCTTCCCAGCTGTCCTATTCTGTGATGCTGCGAAAACTCTCCATGCACTGGGAGGAGGCGGCGAATGTGTGGCCAGGCAGGCAGGCAGGAGTGGGACTCCCCCCCTCCTGCCTGGGGGTGGCTAGGGGAGGGAGGGGGGATTCTGGGGTGCACAGGGAGGCCTGTGTGGCTCCCCCCTTGATTTCGGCCTCTCCTTGCTGTTGTCTTACAGCTAAGAAAGCACCGGACGGCACAGTCATACCAAACGGTTATTGTGATTTCTGTCTAGGCGGCTCCAAGAAGACCGGCTGCCCCGAGGATCTCATCTCCTGCGCGGATTGTGGCCGTTCAGGTGAGGCCGGGGCTGGCGGGGCGAAGTAGGGGGAAGGGCTTGGCCTACACGGGGCAGAGCGGAGGGGGAACCTGCCTCCAGGGTATAAACATGGAGCAGCATCAGAGAATCTCTGAGTTGGAAGGGGCACTCAAGGGCCATCTAGTCCAGCCCGCCGCAATGCAGGAATCGCAGCTAAAGTATCCCTCACACTCTTAACCTCTGCTCTGAAACCTCCCAGGAAGAATGGTCCACCAGGACGCAGAGCGTTTCTCAAACCGCAGGTCTCAGGTGCACAGCAGCAGCAGGAGGCAGAAGATCTCTGAGCATGTGCAGAGTGCCATAGTGGGTGGCTGTGTTCTTTGAGGTGTGTAGCTTTGCTAGAGAAAAGCATTTCACAGCCAACACAGCTGTGCCACAAAGGGCTTTTGTCAGCTTGGAAAGAACCGACCCAGTTCTGGTGATCTGTGCTTCGCCAAAGTGGACTGGCTACTGCTGTGTTTTATACATTGGGCTTCCCTTGAAGAGTGTCTGGAAAGTTTTGAGTGGTGGAGCTGAGGGCAGCGAGGTTAACTGGGATGTGCCGTCAGCAAGCATCTCCCTCCAGCCTTCAGGAGCCATTGCTTGACACACACCCCTTCGTTGCCACATGATAATTTGGAGGGGTAAAACCACGGCCGGTCTGGAGCCTCTGGAACGGGCCAAAGGAGGCCCATTCAGTCCAGCCTCTTGTTCTCCCAGTGGCCAACGAGGTGCCCCTTATGGGAAATCTGCAAGCAGGACCTGGTCCTTCATGAAGGAGCCTAGTCCTCTTTTAGAGCCCTCCGAGCTGTGGCAGGGAGTTCCATAGTTGAATTCTGAAGAAAGGCTTTCTTTTACAGTCATACCTCATGTTACGTTTGCTTCATGTTACGTTCTTTCAGGTTACGACCCGGAAGTACCAGAAAGGGTTACTTCCGGGTTTTACCGCCCGCGCATGTGCATGCGTAGAAGCACAAAATGACATCATGTGCATGCGCAGAAGTGGCAAATTGCAACCTGCGTGTGCACAGACGCGCTGCTGCGGGTTGCATTCTTTTCATGTTGCGAACGGGCCTCCGGAACGGATCCCATTCGCAACCAGAGGTACCACTGTACAGTAATACCTCGGGTTGAAGTTGCTTCAGGTTGCGCGTTTTCGGGTTGCGCTCCACGGCGACCTGGAAGTAACGGAATGCGTTACTTCCGGGTTTCGCCGCTCGTGCATGCGCAGATGCTCAAAATGACATCACGTGTATGCGCAGAAGCGGCGAATCGCAACTAGCGCACGTGCAGACGTGGGTTGCATTCGCTTCAGGATGCTCCTCCCCCTCCTCATTTACTCATTTGACCCCCACAACAACCCCCCTGCAAGGGAGGTGAGGCCGAGAGGGTCAGTGACCAGCACAAGGTCACCCCCAGCGAGCCTCACTCATAGCCGAGTGGCGAGATTTGAACCCAGGTCTCTCCCACGTCCTAGTCTGACACTCTAACCGCTGCACCCGCTGGCTGGCTGCTCCTGCGTGGACTCATGCGCTGCTCTGTGCCTCCCTCTCTCTCTCTCTCTCATGCGCAGGGCACCCATCCTGCCTGCAGTTCACCGTCAACATGACAGCTGCCGTGCGGACTTACCGGTGGCAGTGCATCGAGTGCAAGAGCTGCAGTCTTTGCGGCACCTCTGAGAACGACGTACGTACGTGAGCCACCGGCCGGGCCTGGATCTGACCGCCTCCCCCCACCCCACCTGGGAGCTCAGCAAATGCTGGGACCCCCCTCCCCAGCCTCTGCCTTCCCATCCTTAGAATGCCTTATTGCTCTATCTGTTCGTGGGATTGATCACCTGCCCTTAAGGAGAGCCTGCAGGATCAGGCCAGGATCTAACCCAGCACACCAAGGTGACCCTTATGGGAAGCCCGCAAGGAAGCTTTGGGTGCAAGAACAGCTCTCGCCTCCTCTGTTTCCCACAACTGGGATGCAGCAGTACTGCTTGCCTCATGTGGCAGAGAGTTCCGCAGTCTTAACTCTGCGCTGTGCAAAGGACTTTTTATTTTCTCTGTCCTGAATCTTTTCCCTTGTTCCTTTGGGGAAGAAGTACAGTTCAGGGGATGAAGACTCCCTTTGCCTGCAGAAGCATCTCTCCCAACCCCCCAACCCCAGTGAAATCATGGAATTGTAGAGTTAGAAGGGACCACATGGGTCATCTAGCCCAAACCCCTGCAAGGCAAGAATCTTTTGCCCAAGGTGGGGCTTGAACCCGCAACCCTGAAGATGAAGAATCTGACGCTCTACTAGTTGAGCTCTCCCAGGAGATTTGTGTCTGTGGAAGACCCGTTTCTGCCTGAAATGAGCCTTTGTGGGTGCCAGGCTTTCCTGTGGTCAAAAGAGGAGCTCCTGCTCAGTACACCCCCATTGTTCTGCCCGGATGCTGAGGTCCAGCGCCAAGGGCCTTCTGGCGGGTCCCTCCCTGCGAGAAGCAAAGCTACAGGGAACCAGGCAGAAGGCCTTCTCGGTGGTGGCTCCCGCCCTATGGAATGCCCTCCCATCAGATGTCAAAGATAAAAACAGCTACCAGACTTTTAGAAGACATCTGAAGGTAGCCCTGTTTAGGGAAGCTTTTAATGCTTAACAGACCACTGTATTTTAGTGTTTTGTTGGAAGCCGCCCAGAGTGGCTGGGGAAACCCAGCCAGATGGGCAGGGTATAAATAATAAATTATTATTATTATTTATTATTATTAATTACACCCTTGCAGAGGGATGCGGGTGGCGCTGTGGGTTAAACCACAGAGCCTAGGACTTGCCGATCAGAAGGTCGGCAGTTCGAATCCCCACGACAGGGTGAGCTCCCGTTGCTCGGTCCCTGCTCCTGCCAACCTAGCAGTTCGAAAGCACATCAAAGTGCAAGTAGATAAATAGGTACCGCTCTGGCAGGAAGGTAAACGGCATTTCCGTGCGCTGCTCTGCTTCGCCAGAAGCGGCTTAGTCATGCTGGCCACATGACCCGGAAGCTGTACGCCGGCTCCCTCGGCCAATAAAGCGAGATGAGCGCCGCCACCCCAGAGTCGTCCACGACTGGACCTAATAGGGGTCCCTTTACCTTTAAACCCTTGCAAAGCAGCATTTCCACACCCTTCTCTCTCTCTCTCCCTCTTTCTGCTGCAGGACCAGCTGCTGTTCTGCGACGACTGTGACCGGGGCTACCACATGTATTGCCTGAGCCCACCCATGGCTGAGCCCCCCGAAGGTGAGGAGGGACCCCACCCTAGGCAAGGCGGCTTGGTGGGGAGGGGCAGGGGGAAAAGGTGCCCCTGTCTGATGCTTCTCTGCCTTTCTCCACTCCCCGTTTCCAGGAACCTGGAGCTGCCATCTGTGCCTGCGGCAGCTGAAGGAGAAGGCGTCTGCCTACATCACCCTGACCTAGGCTGGGGGCCCGGCGCCCCCCCCTTTTCCCGTCCTCGCCCCACTCCTCCGTGCCCTTAGCCGTGATGGTGCTGAGCCTTGGGGCGTTTGTTGCCCTCTCGCCTGCCACAAGAACCTTTTCTCCTCCATCCCCATCTCTCTCCGCGCCCCCCCCCACCAGATGCAGCAACGGGGAGGGGGGGTAAACCCTGCCTGCGTCTCCTGCTGGCTGTCACCAAAACTCAAGACTCAAAAGCCATAAAAGCCAGGGGTGGGCAGCTGCCAGCACAGCAGCCGCTCCTGGCCCTTTGCCCCCCCTCTAGATGCATGTGAAAGTGGGCAGGTCCTGCCCCCCCCCCGCAAGACAAACCCCTGGGAGGATGCAGCCGCTACCCCTCACTTGGGCTGTGACCCAGTTCTCTGCTCCCATCTCTTTCGGACCTGGCACAACCTCCGAAAAGCGGCCGGACGAAGGAGGAATTAAGCTTCTCAAAGGCCAGTGGAGTGGGGGGGGGGCGGATGAAGAGCAATGGATTTTTGGGGGGGAACGGGGGTGACTGGCTGCAGCAATGGGTGGAAAGAGGGTCACAGCTGGAGCCGGCAGGGCAAGGGGAGGGGGTCGGAAGGGGTGGGTGGGTGATGCTCAGCTGTCAGAAGGCAGGATTTTTTTCAGTGTTGCTGGATTTTACAGTTGGGGGGGGGATGAAAACTTGAAGGGAAAAAATACACCCCCTGGAAAAGGGGATTAGGGTGGGGAAACTACAGCCCCCCCCAAATAAAAAAATGTGTCGGGGGCTAGCAGGGGCTGTTCCCACTAAGCCCCCCCCCTTGTGTACATGGTGTTGTTCTGTTGCCTGCATCTGCTAATGTGCTTGGATTGTTGTGCATTAAATGTGGTCTGAATTACAGCTCCTGCGGCCGCTGCTCCTTCTTTTGCCTCCTCCTCCCCCCAAGTCATGGTGTCAAGTTCCAGGTGTGTCTAGACTGATGTTATATGGGGGGGGGGAGATGGGAAGGGCAGCTCCCCTCCCACATGGCGCTGCCATCACCCTCATCCTTGCACCTGGCAAGGCAAGGCTGGTGTCTTCTAGCAAGAGCTGTTGCCATGACAACAGGACAGGGAAGAGGAGGATGTTTGGGTACCAGGCTGAAGATGCTGCCCCCCCCTTTTTGCCTCGACACTCAGGCAAAATCTGGGGTCTCCGTTCAAGAGAGAGAGAAGGAGAAAAGGAAGGAAGGAAAAGAGAGAGAGGAGGGGGGTGCGCTCAAGGAACCACACAAGGTTTTCTATGAAATGTTTATTTTATTTCTCTCCTTCCCCACCCCAACACCCAAGAGGTGTGTCACCCTCCAAAGAAACTATCATTGAGGATTCCAGAGAATTATACTGGGGGCATTTATTCTTTTTTTTTCCCCTCCTCCTTTTTTTCTTTTTACAAAAGGCTGGTTGTTGTTCTTTCCTATCAGCAATTTTTAAGACAAAAAATAATAATTAAATAAGACAAGATCTGATCCCAAAAGATTCTTATAAAATTAACACAAGAAACAACTCACACAACACGACTGACAAAAAAAAATGAAGGCGAGGCCCCCCCCCTCACTCCTCCCACCCTGGTGGAGGGGGGGTCTTCCATGTCACAGAGAGGAACGCTAAAGGATAGATTTATTCTTATTTTTAAAGTGGGAACAGGGGGAAGACAATAATCCGTACAAATTGCAGTGAGATACTGGTACAAAATTGAGGGGGAGTTTTGGGGAAGGGGGTGCTGGCAGGGGTGGGGGGCTGGGCTTTGCCACTTCTGGCTGAGAATCTGCCTGGCGTTTGTACCCCTAAGTTGGCTCTGGAGAAGGTGAAGAAGGCTTCTCTCTCCGCCAGGCTCTATGGCTCTATTGGGGGGGGCAGGCTCCTTAAAGGTTGAGCTGGGGGTGCAAAAGGGGTAGCACCCCGGGGAGTTAAGACGACCATGGTGTAAGTTCCTGGGATGCTGTCGGAGCTCGGAGATTCTTCCCCACTTTCCTGGCTACCCGCCCCCTGCAAAAAAAACCCCACATTTTTTCTTGCAGCAATTCCAATGGCCCTTGCCCCCCTCACTGGGGAAGGGCAGGTAGTGGAAGGCCTTGTCGTCGGAGGAGGAAGGGCCAGGAAGCCCCCCCACCGCTGGGTGGGTCTGGGGTTTGCATAGTTCAGACGCTGGCTTGGCAATTTGGCGAGGGGTACACAACCTCACAGTTTGGGGTGTCCCGGAAGGACCCTGCGCCCTATGCTAGCAGCTAGAAGCCGCCGCCCCCCCTCAGGCTTCCCTTTCTCAGCTCTGCTGGCCCCCACCAGGCCTCCAGGACACCCCCCGCCCTGAGGCCAGCCGGAAAAGGGTTCTTGTTCCTCCTGCAATGGACCCCTCCTGCTCAAAGCACCCCAAAAATGGCTCTGCTGGTCCAGACCATGTGCTTTTAACACACAACAACAACAACAACCTGCAAACAAGGAGAAGCCGCAACAGGGTCTGCGTTTCACAACCACAATGTACCAACTGCCCGCACGCATTTCCTTATTGCCGAAGAGTTGCTCAGGCACAGGGGTGCCCGGGGTGTGTGTGTGTGTGTGTGTGTGGCGGCACCAGAGGTCGGGAAATGCGAGAGGCACCGATTCCCAGGAGGAGCTGGGGGGAAGAGTGGCCCCCAATGGCAGGACCGCCCGTTGCCACACAACAGAGGCAAGCGCCCCCCCCCAGGCCAGTGGGGCAGGGGCACCACTCCTGCCCCGATGCCCAAGACTGTCCAGGTCCCCCAGCTCCCAACTTCTGCTGCCGCTGTGCAACCGTTTGTGTCTCTGTGTGTGTGTGTGCTGAGTTCTGAGGCATGCACAGAGATCTCCAGAGGGGCGGGCGGGTGGAGTTACAAACAGTACCATTTATACAAATATAGTGTTTTATAAAGAACATATACATTTAAACTTCTTCTTTTTTTAACTTCCTGAGCCACTCCCATCCTTGCGTTCTCTAGAAAATAATTTAGTCGTGAGAAAGTGCTCTTTTGAGATTCTCGGTGGTCTCGCTCGAAGGGCCCCCCCCCAAACACCCAGAGTCTGTCAAGCGCCAAGGCGCCCCCTGGTGGCGATCCAGGATGGGCGGAGGCGGCGAGGGCAGCGGCGGCCCCCTACCCTGCTCAGGGTGGGTGAGCCCAGGTGCCCATATCGCAGTTCTCTTGGCAAACGCCCAAGGAAGCACCTGAGAGTACACCTGCGGCAAGAAGTGCCCTGGGCCCTGAGCGCCACGCCTGGTGCCAGGCTGGGAAGCGGGCAGGCAGGAGGGCGGGAGGAGAGGTGGCCCTGCTCCCCAAGGAAGAAGGAGGGAGGCTGGCCAGGGCGTTGTTGGGGTCCCACACCACCAGCAAGCCCCTCATCTCTCGCTTCCAAGCAGCCCCGCTCTCCGGCAAGCTCACAGCTCCTTCTTCTCCACGGCGCTGGAGAAGATCTCGGCAAACTTCCGCAGCTGCTCGTTGGCCGTCTGGGACTCCTCCTGCAGGCGCTGGTTGTTGTGGCGCAAGTTGGCCACCTCCGCCTGCAGGACCACCTTGTCTTGCTTCTCCTGGGAAAAGAGAGAGGGAGGTGGGAATCGGGGAAGCTAGAGGGGTGTGTGTGCAGTGGTCCGCCTCGTCCACTATCCTCTTCTCAACAGGGGCCAAATACCCCCGAGAACTTAGGAACGCAGATAGACTGCTTCTGCAGCTGGAGGCCCCATAACAGCCGAAGAAGAGCCTGGCTGCCGGATCAGGCCAAAGGGGGCCCATCAAGTCCGGCATCCTGTTCTCACAGTGGCCAAAGAGATACCTGTGATGAGATACTCGCAAGCGTACCTGAAGGAGCGTCTCCACCCCCATCGTTCTGCCTGGACACTGAGATCCAGCGCCAGAGGGCCTTCTCGGTGGTGGCGCCCTCCCTGTGGAACGCCCTCCCTTCAGATGTGAAGGAATTAAGTAGCTAGCTTATCTTTAAAAGACATCTGAAGGCAGCCCTGTTTAGGGAAGTTTTTAATATTCAATGCTATATTGTTTTTAACACTCGATTGGGAGCCACCTAGAGTGGCTGGGGAAACTCAGCCAGATGGGCGGGGTATAAATAATAAATTATTATTATTATTATTATTATTATTATTATTATTATTATTAAGCAGAATTGGAGCACAAGAGCAACTCTGCCCTCCTGGGGTTTCCAGCCCCTGGGATTCAGAAGCATGGTTGCCTCTGGCTGTGAAGGCAGAGCAGAGCCATCCTGGCTAGGAGTCACCCAAAGCCCTCTCCTTCTCTGTGAATTTGCCCAATCCTCTTTTAAAGCCACTCCTGCAGCAGGGAGTTCCACAGTGTAACTAAACACAGTGCGAATAAGTCTTTCGTTTCGTCCTGTATCTTCCGTGAGTTCTAGGGAGAAGCCCCCTTTCTCTGCACAGAGATCAGAAGCCACAAGAGGCTCCCTCGGACGGTGGAGGCCTCTCCATTGCTGGAGGTTGGGCAGCCATCTGTCGTGGATGCTTTGGCTGCGATGCCTGCGTTCCAGGGGGGTCAGACTAGATGAGCTCTGGGGTGCCTCCCAACTCTATTCAGTGAAGTAGGAGGCAGGCACGGCGGCTCAGAGTCAAGCCGCACCACCGGATGAGAAGAGAACCCAGGAGTCCGGGCTCCCTTCTTGCCCCTTGTCTGTCAACTTTCTGGGGGTTCTTTTGTCGTCACAAGCAGAGTAAGTATCACAAGCAAACATCCCTTTAACATCACTCTATGTGGGGCTGCCCTTGAGACTGACCCAGAAACTCCAGCGGGTGCAGAATGCCACAGCGAGACTCCTTATGGGGTCCTTGCCGTGGGATCACATTTACCCGGTGCTATACCAGCTGCACTGGGTCCCGGTGGAGTACAGGATCAGGTTTAAGGTGCTGGTTTTAACCTTTAAAGCCCTATACGGCCTAGGACCCTCGTACCTACGGTACCGCCTCTCCTGGTATGTCCCACGGAGGACCTTGCAGTCTTCAAACAGAAACATTTTGGAGGTCCCGGGCCACAGGGAGATTAGGCTGGCATCAACCAGAGCCAGGGCTTTTTCAGCCGTCGCCCCGATCTGGTGGAACGCTCTGTCACAAGAGACTAGGGCCCTGCGGGATTTGACATCTTTCCGCAGGGCCTGCAAGACAGAGCTGTTCCACCAGGCCTTTGGCCAAGGCACAGTCTGACCCCCTCCTTTGGTCATCCTCATAGAAGTGTACCCCAATGGTTGCCATCAATTTGATTCTGAATTGATTTTAGAATAAATTGATTTTAGAACCCTGTATTACTTTTATTGCTGTTAGCTGCTTTGAGCCCGGCTTTGGCTGGGGAGGGCGGGATATAAATAAAATGTTATTATTATTATTATTAAATGAGGAGGGCATTTCAGGAGGGGCAGCTTCGCCTTAGGCGGTCCCAGGGCCTGGTGGGAAAAGAGCACCCTCCCCCCACTTTGAGCCACCCCCTGGGGGGACGACTTTCTTACTTTCTGCAGGTCGCTATGGAGCTGCTTCAGCATCGCCTCCAGCTGGTAGACTTTGCCTGTCAGGTCCACAGAGGGCTCCTCGCTGCGGAGGGAGGGAGGGGAGAGCAGAGCGTCAAGAGGCAGCATGGCGCAGTGGTTACAGCATCGTACCAGGGGCCTGGGAGAAACTGGGGTCCAAATCTCGCCTACTCGGCCATCGCCAAACTCACGGCGTGGTTCCTTGGGCCCAGTCTAAACCTTTTCTCAGCCTAGCCTACCTTGCAGAGTGGTTTTTGGTTGTTTTTTTTGGGGGGGGTTTTAAATGAGAAGGGGGGGGGAGCCGTGTTGGAGGTCACCTTGAGCTCCTTGAAGGAGAAGGCAGGATATAAATGGAGCAAATGAATGGATGAGATACCGTATTTTTCGCTGTATAAGACGCACCAGACCACAAGACGCACCTAGTTTTTGGAGGAGGAAAACAAGAAAAAAAATATATTCTGAATCTCAGAAGCCAGAACTGCAAGAGGGATCGCTGCGCAGTGAAAGCAGCAATCCCTCTTGCTGTTCTGGCTTCTGGGATAGCTGCGCAGCCTGCATTCGTTCCATAAGAGGCACACACATTTCCCTTTACTTTTAAGGAGGGGGAAAGTGAGTCTTATAGAGCAAAAAATACGGTAATTGGAGAAAACAAGGGCCTAGATCCCTCCTCGGAAAAGGTGGAAGATGGCAAGCGAGTGAAGGCAGATTAGCGCTTGTATCTTAGTCCCACTCCCCGTATGAGAACAGAGCCCCCCTGTCAAAACCCCCAGCTGGTACCCTGACCCCAAAATTTCCAGAAGCAGGTTGAGATGGAAGCCCCCCCCCAACCCCAACCCCCCAGAGCTGTGCAAAAAGGGCAGCCCATTATTTTCCTCTCCACCCTGGCCATCCAGAGAATGTGTACCTGCAGCTCCCCCCCCATTTTTTGCCCCCCCACCAGAGACCTTGCTCCCCCAGGGAGAAGCAGGAGAGGAAGCCTAGCGCGGCCCCCTTGCCCCCAGACCTCCAAAGGGCCCATGTTCAGTGCCAGAAACACACTCCCGGCTGGGTAGTCGGAGGCCAGGGCCCGCCTTCCCCAAACATAAAAGCGAGGGGTTGGAGGAAGGGGCTTCTGCCGGGAGAGGGGGGGGTCTCTCTCACCTCATGGTGGGTGTCGTGCGGGGCGTCAGCTGCCTCTCCAGGCTCAGGTGCCCCAGGACGGGGCTGTGGGCAGAGGGGACGTCCGGGCTCAGCGTGGCGTCATGGAGGGAGAAGAGGGAGACGGCTCTTTGCACTGAAAGGGGAGCAGGAAGAGGAGGGTTTTGCAGCGCGGCCATCCCCACCAGGCAAAATAACAGCCCCCCCCCAATCCCTTCCTGACAGGCCCCATCGCCCCTTTTTTCTGCATGTTTCCAAACACAATTCAAAATGTTGGTGCTGACCTTTAAAGCCCTAAACAGCCTCGGTCCAGTATACCTGAAGGAGCGTCTCCACCCCCATCGTTCTGCCCGGACACTGAGGTCCAGCTCTGAGGGCCTTTTGGCGGTTCCCTCCCTACGAGGAGTGAGGTTACAGGGAACCAGGCAGAGGGCCTTCTCGGTGGTGGCACCCGCCCTGTGGAACGCCCTCCCACCAGATGTCAAAGAGAACAACAAGTACCAGATTTTTAGAAGACATCTGAAAGCAGCCCTGTTTAGGGAAGCTTTTAATGTTTGATGCATTACTGTATTTTAATATTTTGTTGGAAGCCGCCCAGAGCGGCTGGGGAAACCCAGCCAGATGGGAGGGATATAAATAATAATAATAATAATAATAATAATAATAATAATAATAATAATAATAATAACAATAATAATTAATATTCTGCAGGAAATGGGACTGCCAGGGCTGTGAGGCAGGGAGTCGTCGTCCCCGGCCTCTGCCTGCCTGAGGGGGGCAGAGGCTGTGTGCCCTTCTTTGCATGCCGCAAACAGCGGAACTCCCTCCCACAAGAGGCAGCGGAATGGGCAAACTCATGGAGCGGAAATGGCAGGAGGGGAGGGGGGTTCTTGCACTCAAATCCTGCATGCAAGTTCCCCACAAGCAACTGTTCAGCCACTGGGAGAACAGGGTGGAGGATGAAACGGACCATTGGCCTGATCCAGCCGGGCTAATCTTATGGACCTATGAAACCTCCAGCTCCAGAGGCAGTCTATCTAGAATAAGGTTTGAAGCTTTCTTATGTTTTTATATGTGTTGGAAGCTGTCTGGAGTGCCCAGATGGGCAGGGTATAAAATAATAATAATAATAATAATAATAATAATAATAATAATAATAATAATAATAATAATAATGCTGCGCTATGTGGCCTAGGACCCTTGTACCTATGGGACCGCCTCTCCTGGTATGTCCCACGGAGGACATTACGGTCTTCAAACAAAAACATCTTGGAGGTCCACAGGGAGGTTAGGCTGGCCTCAACCAGAGCCAGGGCTTTTTCGGTCGTGGCCCCGATCTGGTGGAACGCTCTGTCACAAGAGACCAGGGCCCTGCGGGACTTGACATCTTTCCTCAGGGCCTGCAAGACAGCTGTTCCACCAGGCCTTTGGCCAAGGCACAGCCTGACCCCCCCTTCTGTAATCCTCATAGAACTCTAGCCCAATGGTTGCCATTGATTTGATTTTGATTTGATTTTAGAATATATTTCAATCAATTGATTGTGATTTTATGTAAACTGTGTTATTTTTATTGTTGTTAGCCGCTCTGAGCCCGGCTTCGGCTGGGGAGGGCGGGATAAAATAAAATTATTATTATTATTATTATTAATTCACAGGTTCTTAGGGCCAGGTGATAACCCACCTGGTGCCGTTGCCAGAGCCTTCCAAGTGCAGAAGCAGAGAACGGAGTCCCAGCCCATTTTCTGAGGCTGCAGGTGCAGCTGGCCCAGTGCTGTGGGGCTCAAACCGGCCGGGCAACACACTGGGCCCAGCCCTTCCCTGGCAGGCAGCCACTGGGATTTGCTGTTGCCGCTTTGACGGGCGACTTGGGATTCGGGTTCTGCAACAGCACTGGGCCTGGAGGAGTCAGGGCGTTTGCTCCCTCCGAGCTCAGGGCAAGGGCCGAGGTTCCCGTGCCCTGGTGATCTCAGCGCTGTCTGCTTGAAATCTGCTGCCACCGCCATTGAGCATCAAAGAGGCTTGGGGGGGGCTCCACCCCCCCAGCGCTTGCCCTCTCCTCTCACCCAATTAGCCGCTTCTCCAGCAAAGCCTCTCACCTCCCCATTCAACAAGCCCCCCCAGCAACTGCTGAGCTCTTCCACTCCCCCCAGCGCTGTGATCAACCCCTCCCTTCTGCCTTTCCCTCAATTAAAACAGCCAAGTGCTAATTAAGGCAGGGACGCTGAACTTCCAAGGCACAGGAGCCTAAATATAGAGAGCCTGAAATGTCAAGAGGCAGGGAGTTGCCGGTGTGCGTGGTTTGGCGGCCGTCGGCCAGGGAAGCCTCAGCTGAGATTCCTGGGTTGGACTAGATGGCCCTTGGGGTCCCTTCGAACTCCAGTTCCAGGGGGAAAGAGGGGGGGATGCTGGGGGGAGGCAGGAGGGGGTCCCTCCTCCCCAAAGCACCAGAAGATGCTGGGAAGAACACAACACTCTTTGATGGCACTTGGACAGCTTTAAAACCCCTCTCCCCACGGCCTTTGTGTGCCCCACACCCATGGGTGCTGTGCGTTGCCAGGCCAGGGACTCTGCCCTGCTGTGGAACAGGGGCAGATGCCACCAGCTCTGTGCCCGCAGAGTCCTGGGCTTTCGCCCCTAAACGCTTTCAGCTCCAGTCTCCTGCCAGCCCCTGGATTGGTGGGTCACCCCCCTCTCCGTCTTCCGAGCCAGAGGGCAGAAGGGCAAGGGGCTGCTGCAACGGGCAACAAGAGAAAGGGCCCCTCTCTCCCCCTCCGTGGCCGCAGGGCACCCGAGGGAGACCCGGGCGCTTCCTGGAGGGCTCTGCCCGCTCCTACCTTTCCCCGCCGGGCTCCCGGGCACCAGAGCAGAGCAGGAGGCACAGGTGAGCTGAGCAGCGTGTGGCCGATGGCCCGTCTCCTTCCTCTGTGCTCGGCCGAGTGGCTGCTCTGCTCTGGAGTCGGGAGGCAGGCAGGGAGGGTGGGTGGTGCCGGCGTCGTGACGCAGATGGCAGGCCTGAGCAGATTGCCGAACCTCCTCCCCGCCCCCCCCCCCCCCGCCGGCAGGGAGGCGGCTGCTCCTCCTTGCTGCCAAGGGAGATCCCTGTCGGAGCTGGGCCTTGCCTGGACACGCAACCGCTCTCCACCCCCCTGCCCTACTTTCGGCTCAGCGACGAGAGCTGAGCCGCTGCTCCTCCTCCTCCAGCCCAAAGGAAAGCAGGTCACGGAGGCAGAAACCGCAGCCAGGTCCTCATTAGCTTGCCTGGCTAGAAATGAAAGTGGCCGTGCAGGGGGGGCAGAGAGGGAGTGGGGAGGGGGCTCAGGGTGCCCCCAAGCTGCTCAGGGGCTGACCCGGGTCACTCGCAACCCACGGTGGCATTTTAACGTATTGTGACACGGCCGTTGCTCCTCTACCGATTTTTGCAAGCAATTTTTTGATATCTGTGTTTTCGAAAGGGTTGTGGAATCTTGCTCCGTTTGATGTTGTTCATTCGAAAATCATTTAAAAATAAATTTATGTGCACTGGATCGGAAGCTACAAGGAGTGCAATCCTCGACGTTTTATTGCGTTTTCCGGCTTGTGCATTATGGAGAGGCAGGGTGCAAATTAAATCTGAAATGGAAGCGCTGGGGCAGAAGGGGGCTGGGGCTTTGCAGACAAGAGGCTCAGCTGAGAGGCCAGCAGGGGTGGGGGCTAATCCAGGGGTGGGGGCTAATCCAGGATGCTGGAGACCAGGAAGAAGGGGGGCGGGGGGGAGTATCTGGGAAGGCTAAGCCCAAGGCAGACGGCAAGCAGAGCGACTGGGATTTTTCTTTCATTTTTTCAAGGAAACTCACTCCCCCACCCCAAATCCAAATTCAGCGCCTCTTTAACAGATCCAACCACATTTATTCATTTGGTGTGTTTTTTCATTTCAGGAAATTTACACACGGCTTGATCGCAAAACGAAAACCTTCAAAGAAAAGAAAAGATAAAAGCATAAAATTTTATGTTTCTGTTTAATATAAACAGAAAGATGAAATAGACTAAAAACAGGTCCAAACTCACGCCAGGTTTCTAAGCATCTGGGTGAGGCTTGTCTAAAGAAGGATGTGTTTTAAATAGGCACCCAAACGGAAGGGAGACTGCATGGTATCAAAAGGCAGGGAGTTCCAAAGTGCAGGTGTGGCCAGACTAGGAACGACCGAGCTCTTACGCAGGTGGAGCAGGCATTACCTGGCACCTGCAGCAGAGGTCGTTCTGCTGATCCAAGTGGTTGAGTGGGCATGGATGGGTGAAGGACACCTTGCAGGTAAACTGGTCCCAATTTGTTGAGGGGTTTTTCTATAAGGACTGTAACACCTTGACGTTGACCCAGGAGCCAATGGGCCTCCAGTGTAGATATCCCAGCAAAGGGGTTTCAGGCCTCGCTCTCGTCAGCAACCGCGCTGCAGCATTCTGCACTGACGGTTCCGGGAATCCAGCCTTGAACTCAGCAACGCATGACTTAAGACAAAGGTGTCCAACTTCCAAGAGACTGTGATCTTCTCCCTCTATAAATAAAGTGGTGGTGATCTACCCATTGGACTGACCAGAGTTGTTGAGATTTTTTTTGGGGGGGGGATTGGGGTCACGCGATCGACCAGGATCGACTAGGGACGCCCCGCGATCGACTGGTAGATTGCAATCAACCTGTTGGGCACCCCTGACTTAAGAGATCCCTAGAGCTGCCCTGGCAGGCCCTGAGGGGTCTGGAGATCTCAGTCTCCACCTTGGTCCTCCGCCTGACTTTGCAGGCGAGACGCCTTCTCCATGCAACGGCTTCAGGTCTGCACCACCAAGAAGGCAGCAAGGGCACCAGGAGAGGTGGGAGGAAACTCCCCATTAAGCAAAACTGGAGCGGAATGCCCCATGGAGGACCTTAATGTCCATAAATAGAAACACCCTAGAGGTCCCGGGCCCTAAGGAAGTCAGATTAGCCTCAACCAGAGCCAGGGCCTTCTCAGTGATGGCTCCGGCCTGGTGGAACGCTCTGTCTCATGAGACCAGGGCCCTGCGGGATCTGATTTCTTTCCGCAGGGCCTGTAAGACAGAGTTGTTCCTCCTGGCCTTTGGCTTGGAATCAACCTGATCCCCTTCCCCTCTATCCTTTCTCCTTCTGTGATGGAACTCCTATTTGGGGACTTCCCTGGCTTTTTTCTGGCCCACGTAGGACCAGTCTGGATAGTTGGCCTTGGTGAAGATTTGACGTTTTCATCCCCAAAAAGTTTTTGAGTTTCTACTGCATTTTAATGTTGTATTTTAATCTTGTTGTATTTCAATCAATTGTTTTATACCTGGTGTTAGCCGCCCTGAGCCTGTTCTTGGCTGGGTAGGGCAGGGTATAAATATTATTATTATTATTAATTATTATTATTATTATTATTATTATTATTATTATTATTATTATTATATTTCCTGGGAGTCGGGGACGCCCCTTCTTCCCCTCCCAGGCTCTCAAAATGATGTGAGAGAGGCGCCCAGAAAGAGCCACAAGCCTCCTAGTTCAGCTGATGGAATCACAGAATTGAAGAGTTGGAAGGGACCCCCAAAGGCCATCTAGTCCAACCCCCTGCAAGGCAGGAAGCACACAGCTGTTCACACTTAACAACGTGGGTCCAGTTGAGCTGCGAGATCTTCCTCGCCCCCTGTGCGCCCACTCAACCGCTTCCATGGGTGCAACTGGCCCTGTGACAGGGGCCACATAATTCACCCCCGACCCTCACTGGTAGGAAATCAACCTTACAGGGTGGTGGTGCCCAAACTTTGGAAGTCCCTGCCTTTTGACATCACTGCATTGCTTCCAGCTAAAACCGTATTTCTGCTTAGCCGAGTCTGCCTGGATGCTTGGGAAGTTCTTGTGCGTCTTTTAGTCTATTGTCATTCAAACTTTTTGGAAGTCTTAAATCATTGCTCTTAGCTTTTCTCAAGTGACAATCTTATGCTTCCATCTTTTCTGTCAACAGCTTTGACAACAACCAAGCGGCGCGTAAATTTCAGGAGATAAAAGTAATTCACGAAAAAAGGTGCTCAGCTGCAGCCAGGAGCCTCGCAAGGCCACAAGCCGCTCCCGGAAGAGAACACAGGAGCCGGCCTCCTTGAGGATTAGAAACCCTGCGCCAGCCAAGCACAGGCCCCGGAGAGCCTCTGCCCCAGCGCACGGAGGGTCAAGACCCCCAGAGGCCCCCTGGCAACCACTTCCACATGCTGGCATCTGGCAACGATCCCTAGGGGGGCAGAGGGGGCAGTGGGCAAGATGGAGGGGCTCCGGCCCTTTCACCACCGGCCTTCCCTACCTTCGTAGGCCTTGGCTGCGTTGACCAAGCTGGACCACTCCAGGCCGGCGGCCGTGTCCGGAAGGGGCATCAGGCCCGGGTCAATCCGCCGCAAAGGCTTTTCCCGCACGTCCGTCAAGGAGAGCTCAGAGGCCGAAATGGCGCCTGCAGGGAGAGCAACGCATAGCTGTCAACTTACAGATTTGAAAATAAGGGACCAGCAGCCTCGAAAATAAGGGATCAGCAGCCAAAATAAGGGATTTTGCTTAGAAATCCGGCACTCATGGAGCCATGCTGCTTTGGCTGCGACTGACTGTGTTTTGCACTCCCACCAAAGAAGAGGGGCAGACAAAACTGATGAACGACGTCGAGATGGCAAAGCTTACAGGCAGAATTAGAAACCAGGAAGAGGACCTCTTTAATAAAGAATGGGGAAAGTTTATAATTTAGTTGAAAAGCTATTGTCAAGAGTTACATACATTGACAGAAAACTTGTAGTAAAAATTTGAACTATGGATGGACAAAGGATTTATAAAAATCGAGTTATGAAAGGGATGCAGAGGGGGAAATCACTACATTAAGATGCTGCACTGGTTGGAGGGGATGCTAAGCAGCCCGTCGGGGCTGCCATCGTCCTGGCGCGAGGAGTTCCGTCGGCACTTCCCTGCTTGAGGAGGAGGGGGGAGGGAGACTCTCGCCCACGCCGCCTGCCAGCCCGGCATGAGGTGGTTGCGGCGCTGCGGCGGCCGCTGAAGCACCGCCCTTCTGCGTCTCTCCCCATCCCCTCCTCTTCCTCCTCCCTCAGGCGCCTCCTCAGCCCCCGCTGCCGCCTCCGGCTTCCCCTGGCAGCACGGCAGAAGTCTCGCAAGAATGGGGTTGCCTGCCCGCCCGCCACCACCCATCTCCTCAGGACACGCCACTGAGGGGGAAAAGGAAGAGACGGAGACGCGGCAGCTCATGCGTGCTCTCTCTCTCGTGGCAGAGGACCCCGAGCCGCTGCTTCCCTCCCGAGCATGAAACCCGGGAAATTTAAGGGACACCATCAATAAGGGACAGCAGTGGGAAACGGCGCTGGGATAAGGGAGTTTCCCACCAAATAAGGGACGGTTGACAGCTATGGAGCAACGGCCTCGACAGGCGGCTGCCAACATCTCCCCAGACAAGACCACCCTCCATGCCAAGTGCGCCCGGTTTGGAGGCCCCCCCACCAGGTGGAACCAGAGCCAAGACACAGCCTCTCCCGTCAGCAGAAGATTCTGAGGCTCTGGGGAGCCAGTGCCAACTAGGCCCCGGGAGAGACTAGGGTTCAGATCCTGCCACGTGGCCACAAAGCTCATATGGGGGCGGGGGGGGGCTTTGGGGCCAGTCGCTGCCTCTCCCGGCTCAGGCTACCTCCCAGGGCTGTTGTTGTTATTATGGGGGTGAGAGGAGGGGTGAACCATGTCCACCACCTTGCCTTGGTGGGGGGTGCCCTCTTTGGTTCACAATAGACGGGGGAGGATTAAAAGGATGCCGGGAGAAAGCGAACAGAGAAAAGCTTTTCTCCCTCTCCCAGTGCTCGAACTCGTGACATCCAAAGGAAGGCGAATGTTGGAAGATTCAGGACAGACAAAAGGAAACCCTCCTTTATACAGCAGTATACAAATTTAATATAATAATAATAATAACAATAGGAAGTCCTCCTTCATGTAGCACTGAACTGTGGAACTCCCTGCCACAGGAGGCAATGAAGACACCTGCATTGTCTTTTAAAAAAGAGGGTTGGGCAAATTCACGGAGGAGGAGAGGCCTCCCAGCCAGGATGGCTCCGCTCTGCCCTCCACAGTCGGAGGCAGTGAATGCTTCTAAAACCCTGAGAGGGAAGCGTTGCTAATTCTCCCCTGGCCTCCTCACTGGCCCAAGCAGAATTAATTCAGCCAGCTAGCCCTGGTGACTATCTAATGCTTATTAGATGGGTTTTCCTCCAAATTGATTTCTGAACTTTGAATTTTATTTATGGGACCACCTCTCCTGGTCTGCCCCACAGAGGACCTTAAGGTCCATGAATAACCATAGTTTAGAGGTCCCGGGCCCTGAGGAAGTCAGACTATCCTCCACCAGGGCCAGGGCCTTCTCAGTGATGGCTCTGACCTGGTGAAATGCTCTGTCCCACGAGACTAGGGTCCTTCAGGATTTAACCTCCTTCCATCAGGCCTGTAAGACAGAGCTATTCCACTTGGTCTTTAATTTGAATTCAGCCTGATCTTTTATTTCCCTTCTCTTCCCTCCCCCCCTCCTTTTATGAAGATCACCCGCTCTGGGATCCCACAGCCCCTGGCCTCCTCACTGGCCCAAGTAGGACCAATTCAGCCAGCTAGCCCTGGGGATTATCTAATGCTTATTTCCCCTAAATTGATTTCTGAATTTTGAATTTTATTGTTATTCATGTTTTTATACTGTATTTTATGCTGCTTCTACAATTAAGTGTTTTAAATTTGTTGTTAGCCACCCTGAGCCCGGTTTTCTGAACCGGGAAAGGCGGGGTATAAATAAAAATCTATTATTATTGTTGTTATTATGATGCTCCCCCCAAAGCAGAACTCACCCTTCCTCTCCGAGAGGCCCCCGTTGCTGGGGGTGGGGTGCTGCTTCCGTACGGGGAGGGTGCTGAAGGTGCTGGTGAAGAGCACGTCCCCCGGCAGGGGCTGCTCAAAGCCGTAGGCGCTGGCATAGCTGGGGTCTCGCCTCCCGCTGCACAGGCTCTCGTCCGACAGCGTCCTCTGCAGGGTCTTCTGGGGGGACTGAGGGCAGGAAGAAAGACGCAGTCAGAGGAGACTCGGGAGAGGAAAGACCCGCTGGGACCGGGGACTCTCCTTCTCCCACAGGGGCCAGAGAGATGCTCCTGGGAGGCCCACAAGCAAAGAGGATGGAGAACGCATCACCTGGAATCAAAGAGCGGAAAGGGAACCCTGGGGGCCATCTAGTCCAGCCCCCTGAAATAACGCAGGAATTACCGTATTTTTCGCCCTATAGGACGCACCGTCCCATAAGACGCACCTAGTTTTTTTTTGGGGGGGGGAAATAAAGAGGAAAAAATTATTTCCCCCCCAGGCGTGGGGCTGGGGCGGGGGAAGCCCGAGCTTCCCCCGACCCCAGCCCCCACAACAGGCAACTCTCCGCAAGCCGCAAGCCTTCGGCATGCAGGCAACTCTCCGCAAGCCACGGGAGCCCTACGCCGGGGTCCCGCACCTTGCGGAGAGCTGCGCAAAGTCTGGGCGCGCTGAGCTCAGCGTGCCCAGGCTTCGGCATGCAGGCAACTCTCCTGCCGTGGGCTCCCACGGCTTGCGGAGATCTGCGCGAAGCCTGCATTCGCCCCATAGGACGCACACACATTTCCCCTTCATTTTTTTGTGGGGGAAAAGTGCGTCCTATGGGGCGAAAAATACGGTACAATGGACAGAGGGCTTAATAAGGAGAGTCCCGCACAATTCCAAGGGAGTCCGCTCCACTGTCAAAACGGCTCAGAAAAGGCTTTTCCCCTTTGCAAAAGAAGCTGCACAACTGTGAGCTGATCCTCAAAAAACGGGGCTTTCCCCCTTTCCTCTAAAAACTAGGTGCATCTTACAGTCAGGTGCGTCTTATGGAGCGAAAAATACAGCAAATCACACAGTGAGTTGCGTGTCTGCTGGACTCTGTGTGCTGACAGCCCCCCTCTTCCTCCCAAACTCACCAAATCCCTCTCCTGCTCAGTGGAGCCGCCGTCCATGATGATCAGCTTCTTCAGGTCGTCCTCAATGGTGGACTTGTAGGTCTTGCGTGGGGAGCGGAGGTCGCGCAGGGAGGCCCTTAGCCGCGGCTGCCCAAAGACATTCTTGGTGTTCAGGTCCACTTGCCTGGGGGGAGAGAAAAGGGGGTGATGTAGAGGAGAGGCTGCAAAATTCGGGGCTTTTTCACTTGGGGAGAGGCAGCATTGCAGGAGGCAAGTTTTTCTCCTAGCGGTAGAACTCAGGGAATGTTGGGAAACTTAGCACAGGTGAAAGGAAGTCCTCCTTCAAGCGGAGTTAATCTGTGGAACTCCCTCCTACAGGAGGCAGCGATGGGTCACCGACTTGGGTGGCTTTAAGAGAGAAAGAGGCAGAGGGCTTCCTGTTTCCGGCGGTGGGAAATGGCTGACTCCCATACGATCGGATCCCAACTGTGCTGGTAATTCAGGGCTGATATGGGGGTAATTAGCCCTGGCAGACTCCACATGGTGGGGGAGGACTGTCTCGTAGATTGTCCAAGATTGTCAGCTTGCATCAAGGCGCAAGCAGCAGGACACTGGATCCCAGAGCACGACATGGCTGACACTCTCTGAAATCACTCTCATAGCCGGAAATATCTGTTTGATAAAATAATTGGATTTGGACAACAAACAGACATCGTCTGGACCGAAGAAGGAAAAACCTGCAGAATTGTACAGTCCCTGGTGTTTAAGCTCGGACTTCAAAGAGATTCTCATGATGGCATTTGGATTACGGAGGTGTTTGGTATGTCCTTTTTCTATTCTTAATATCTACAATTGGTTTTCTATGCCAAACCTCATCAAGAAATTTAATTTCTTAAAAAAAGAGTACAGATGGACTTCTATTTATAATTAAATATTCAACTGCGCAGCTTTACTCAGACTCGAAAGATAAAGATAAAAGAAGAAACAAGATGGTGCTTGTTAATATGACGTAGCATGGAAAAATGAGAATTCCTCCCTTTTTCAAGGGAAGCAGGAGATATTTGCTGGCTGACATTGTAATGACTTGAGATAACAGTTTGGGACAACATACAGTGCAGCTGTTTGCAGAAGTTTTTCATTATGAGCAAGAGATAAGGCAGCCCCCCTACTAGGGCCTGGAGGGGGGGATTGTGTGGTCTCCATGAAGGCTGATCGATCGCCAAATGACTTATATCTGTGGATTATAGTTCCTTTACATTGCAATATTGCAAACAGTCTGCCCAATAATCTATAGTAACAACTCAACAACGTGGAAGGTACTGCGTCATTAAATCTCAAAAGAAAGGTTTGGACAATTGGAGTGATTTAACAACTTGGGAATTGCTGCGTCATTAAACATTAAATGATAAACTTGGACAACAGCCTGGATTGGAAGATTGGAATGAAGTCAGAAAAAGCTGCGCTGGTAAATAGACAGTTGAAAAAATATATATTTACAAATAAAGCTGTATTTGATGGATGAAAGGATATATGACTTTTGACATGACTGAGAATCGCATAGCCAGGGATGGAGAACTTTAAAGTGTAACAAAAGAGATCTTTACATTTCCCTGTTTCCCAGCCAAGTTCATCACACCCTTTTGTCTTCCCCTGGGTTTGTTATTTCTGGAATGGCTACCTGTCTGGCACTCAGGTATCAGGATGCCAGGGATTATCACTCAGGCAGAGGGGCGGCTGAGTAGCTGAGCTCACATGTCTAGATGAATTTCTGAAGTTTTCCAGTGAGCCAGTACAGAGATACATTTATCAGTGAATTATTACATTTGGTATTGTGCAGCAGAGGCCCTTAGAATAGGCAGGAAGAAACTGTGATGAAGTGTTTTGTAGGGACAAATCACAAGTGATTGTGCTGGTTTTGGTAGTGGGCTGCATGTGCACGATATCTGCTGGAGGGGCAACCCCCCCCAACCTATACATAAATTCCTGCAACAGTAGTACAGCTTGTTCCCTAAGTTTTATGGCAGTCACACAGACTTCATTGGCCTTCCAGAAGCACACCTCAGATGCAGGCCAAGCCACTGAGCAGCAGGACCGCCTTCATCCATCCAACGGGAGCTGATCCATTCAAGGGCTGTTGTGGCTGATCTGTCTGTCTGCCCCCCAGCCCCCAACCCCAGGCAGGAGGGCTGGTGAGGGGTCTGCGCATGCTCAGAGACCCTCTCCTCTTTGCCTCTGCCTTGCACGCTCCAGGGGGCGAGTCCTAAACAGACCTCAAAAATCAACGGCTTCGGATGCGCCTCCCTCTTTCCCAGCCGCCCCCTACCCAGCAGAAGGAGAAGGCCAGGCCCCCTACTCACTTCTTGGGGTCTGCAAAGGCCGTGGGCCTGGCGGGGGTCTCCTCGCCCCTCTTCCACCCGGCCGGGAGGTGCTTGTTCCTGCTGCCCTGCTTGGAGAAGAAGGACTTGGGAACGGAGGCCGAGAGCTGGAAGGAGCTGGACTGCGGCATGTGGGGGCCCCGTGTGGCATCAGCCGGGGGCGCCTTGTACGCCTGGGCAGGGTACGTGGCCCTGCCGCTGCTGAAAAACAGAGAGGAGGCTCAGTTCGCTATGGGGAGGGTGCTGGGGACACAGGCAGAGATTGCCAGATGCGGTAGGAATTCTGAGGTCTTTGCATATATGGAAATGTTCATAACCGCACGTACATAGATTAGCACAGGAAGACCGACCTGAAGCCATTTTTGATTCCTAAACTGAGCAAATGTTTTCTCTGCATGGTCTAAGTGGAAAAGCCTCCCCATTGTCTTTTCCTTCACAAATCCTGTCTTAAGTGTATGTCTGTGTTTGAATAGGGTGTGAGAAAAACAACATTTAAATTTCTGTTTAGGCTGCCTTTTCTGTGATGTAGATATGATGTATCTGAGGGGTGGTCTTAGGTTATACCCCTTCTGTGATGTATGCATGATGTTTCTGGGGGTGGTCCTGATCACTGATGGGAATTTCAAAAGTCTTTATAAGGCCTTGCAGGCCATTTTTCTGGGTCCCTCCTCTCTCCTGCATGTGAGGGGAGCACAGATTAATTGTTGCAACAGATCAATAAAGATCAGGCTTACGAGCTGCTTTGCTTCTCAATATTCTCTGGTTGGTCTCTGTTATTCTCTCCTACCAATAGGGAACCTATGTAAGGACTCTATATGGGCTCTTGGATACCCCATAAGAGAAAAGGGCAATTTTTGTTTACAGCACAGACATGCAGCTTGCTTGCAAGGGGGCAGGAGTTCAGTGGGGAGAGGCCACCTGACCAAAGGGGTCTTGCTCGTTCAGCTGCTACCTGGGACCTGTGAAAAAAAGACAGCCACGGAACCAAGAAATTACACAAAACAAAAGAATTGCCGTGGAAATCCCTGAAACGTGAGGTAATCGACTATAGAATTGAATAACAATTTTTTAAAAAATAAGGAAAAATTAACCAAAGACTTAACGAGATGCTGGCTACAAAACTCGTTTCACTGAACTAATCAGTTTCCTCAGAAGGAAATAAAGAATTTTAAACCTTAAATGAATTTAAGTGATATCAAACTCAAGAGCAGGGCTGAGTCGCTTCCTTGAGTTTACAAAAAAGGTATTAAAACCTCAATGACAAGTTTTAAACATAGCAATATTTAGGAGAACACTGTAAACCTTAAATGGTTTTCAATGATTCCCAGCAAACTCAAGAGCAGGGCTGAAAGTTTACAAAAAGAAAAACTTACAAAGGAATACGAGATAAGCTGTTTAAGTTTCAAACAAACTCAAAAACAGGGCTAAGCGCTCCTGACTGCTGATGTTAAAGACTGCTACCTGGGACCTGGCGTGCTTGTGGGGAATGGCCACCAGGGGGCAGGAGGGGCTGCTGTTTTAGGGCACCAATTTTGGGGTGATTTGGGGAGAAGGTTGGGTGGTGCAGGGTTAAAAACATGTTTTTCCACAGTGCATGTTTTAAGCATCGTCATTACTGTATTTGTTCATATCCCACTGTTCTTCCCGCGCAGGGACTTTAAGGAGGCTTACGGCTAAAGTAAGAACAGCCACAAACAGAAGGGGGAAAGCAATACTTGAAAACAATTAAATGTTAACAGAATAGCTGTGTCTATATAAAAACATGCAGAATCGTAACAATGAAAACATCATAAACCCTGCTTAATGCCCTCCCCTCAGATGTCAATGGAATAAACAACTATCTGACTTTTGGAAGACACCTGCAAGGCAGTCCTGTAGCTTCCTAATGATTGGTGCTTTCTTGTGTTTATAACATTTTGTTGGGAGCCGCCCAGAGTGGCTGGGGCAACCCAGTCGGATCAGAGATATAAATAATAATAATAATAATAATTAGTTAAAGGAAAGGAGGGAGGTCCAGGAGATTCTTTGGAATCTTGTTTCTGTGTTGTATGTTGGATAATTGACTGTAAAAGCTTGATCTGAAAAACCAAATAAATAAATACAGTGGTACCTCGGGTTAAGAACTTAATTCGTTCTGGAGGTCCGTTCTTAACCTGAAACTGTTCTTAACCTGAGGTACCACTTTAGCTAATGGGGCCACCGAGCGAACCTGAGGTAAAGTTCTTAATCTGAGGTACTATTTCTGGGTTAGCAGAGTCTGTAACCTGAAGCATTTGTAAACTGAAGCATCTGTAACCCAAGGTAAGGTAAAGGTAAAGGGACCCCTGACATTAGGTCCAGTCGTGGCCGACTCTGGGGTTGCGGCGCTCATCTCACTTTATACAGCTTCCGGGTCATGTGGCCAGCATGACTAAGCTGCTTCTGGCGAACCAGAGCAGCGCACGGAAACGCCGTTTACCTTCCCGCCGGAGCGGTACCTATTTATCTACTTGCACTTTTGACATGCTTTCGAACTGCTGGGTTGGCAGGAGCAGGGACTGAGCAACAGGAGCTCACCCCTCGCGGAGATTCGAATTGCTGACCTTCTGATCGGCAAATCCTAGACTCTGTGGTTTAACCCACAGCATACCACTGTAGTAGTAATAATAATATGATCATCAGGATATAAATAATAGTAATAATATTATTATGATTATCATCATCATCACAGCACCAGCCTTTCCGTTATCCGAGAGGGAAAGGGAGGAGCAAGAAGGCCTTGAGGAGGGTTGGACTAGATGAGCCCTGGGTTCCCTTCCAACTCTACAATTCTGCATTTCTAGCAGGGGCACCTGGGAAAGAGGGGGCCAGCCCCAGAAAGGCCCCACTCACCTTGGCTGCTTGAAGTGGTGGTTCCCGCTGCCGCCCCGGGCAGCCCCTCCGGAGCCCACTCCAAAGGCCTTGGGGCCGTGGTAGCCCCAGCTCTGCCCGCCGGAGCCGACGGCCGGGGACGCGTCCCTGCGCTTGCCACTGGCCGCAGCCTCGTGCAGGGCGCCGCCGAAGGGTGGCGGGGCCTTGTTGGCAGGCTTGTCCCTGCGCGAGGAGGACTTGGCGCTGGTGGCGTCGATGCCGCTGTCGCTGGAGCCCCCCTTGGCCAGGGGGTCCGGGTCGGCCTCGGCCGGGTCGGGCGTGTCGAACCAGCGCTCGTCGCTGTGGCTGCTGGAGGCGTTGCTGGAGAGCGTGTTGCTGCTGGAATGGCTGCTGGAGTACTGCCCTTCGCCCTGGAAGCGGGGAGAGCATGGGCGTCAGGCCTGCGGAGGGGGAGGCCTCTGCGGGGAGGGGGTCCCCCCGCCAGCGCCCACCCCAGCTCACCTTGGAGTGCCGGTTGGGAGAGTCCTTGCCCGCCAGCTCCTGCCTGCTCGGCCGCTTGCTGCCAGACGGTGCCGACACCCTGGGCTGCGCCGGCACGTGCCAAAGAGGCTCTGCCAAAGTCAAAGGACGCCGGGAGTCACACCTTCAGAAAGAGCCCCTTGTTCACACACACACACACACACACACGCCTGCCACATGCTCCAGCGACTTCCAAGAACGGATTTCTGGCTGCCCAGGGGAAGCCTAAGGGGAAGTCCGCGAGCAGCATTCGAACACAAAACCCTCGGTCCTCCTGTGGCTTCCAGAAGCTGGCATTCGGAAGCACAGCTGGGTCCCGTGAGAGGGGCACCCTTCAGCCTGGTCCAAGGCATGAGAGATGGGGGTGAGGCTCGCTGGCAGGGGGCACGACAGATCTGCGTTTCCCTCATGAAGCCTCCTTTCCTTGCCCAGAGGCCAGGGCAAGCACTGCCGCCCCGGCCTCATGGGATGGGCTGCTCCTAGGCCAGCACAGAGCTAGGAATGATTATTTATAATAATAATATATTTTTTTAATTTATACCCTGCCCTTCCTTGTTCAGAAAACCAGGCTCAGGGTGGCTAACAACAAATTTAAAGCACTTAATTGATGCAACAAAAAACAGCATAAAATACAGTATAAAACGTGAATAACAGTAAATTCAAAAATCAATTTAGGGGGGAAATCCATCCTATAAACATTAGATCACCAGGGCTAGCTGGCTAAATTAGTCCTATTTGGGCCAGCGAGGAGACCAGGGGAGAATTGGCTGTGGGATCCCCAGAGTGGGTAATCTTCATAAAAAGGGGAGAGGGGGGAAGGAAGGGGAATAAAAGATCAGGCTAAGTTCAAGTTGAAAGCCAGGCGGAATAGCTCTGTCTTACAGGCCAGTAGATCAGGCCCAGGGGAAGCCTAAGGGGAAGTCCGCAAGCAGAATTCGAACACAAAACCCTCTGCCCTCCTGCAGCCTCTGCAAGGCCCTGGCTGAGCCCAACTCAGTCCCACAACCCGCCCCCCACCCCCGGAAACCCCGCTCCCCCTTACCAGGCTTGGGCCTCTCCATGGTGCTCTCCTGGCTGGCCACTCCCCCGGAGGAAGAGCAGGAGTCCCCGTTGGAGGCCGCCTCGTGGGCATAGAGGGGGTCGAAGGGCATCAGGGGCCGCTGTGCTTGTGGGGCTGCATACCTGTGTGTGGAACTGGGAGAGGGGAGAGAAGGAATGAGGCAGGCGGCAGCTCAAGAAGACAAACTGAGGCGGGGGGGGGCGAATAACACCACCCAGCCAGCCTCCCGTTCATTAGCAGGTTTTAAAAATACCAAATTTGTGGGGGGGGGGAGGAGAGGGAAGGAGGGGAATGAAGATGCGCAGCGCTCCTCAGTTCGGTGGCCCAGGCAACGGAGGAACAGCCCAGAAAGAGATGAGCAGAAGGGACGAGTGGGGGCTCAGCACACAGCCCCCCAACCATCGTTCTCCAGCACACACACCCGAGAGCAGCAACGCTTCACGACCAGACCTCTCGGGACAAGAGCTCCAGCGGAAGACTCAAGTCTAGTCCCAGGCCACAGGAAGAAGATGCCCTCTTCCCCTGTCAGGTGGGCAGGGGGCAGCAAGGGCAACCCGCCCCCCAGACCCTCCTGCTCTCTTCAGCTTCAGAGGGCAGAGAGCAAGGAGAGGTTGCAGCAGGGCCCGGGTGCTGAGGCCCTGACTGGTGCCCTGCGAGGGTCCCCATTGCACCAGGCGTGCCAGCAGACGGCTAATGCCAACCAGGCCGGATGGAGGATGCTTCTCTCGGGCACCATGCCACGATGATGCCAGGCAGCGCCTCAAGCTCAACCTGCTGCCCCTTACTGGCTCAACCCCTTCACTGCCCTCTCCGAAGTGGCCCAGCGCATGCCAGGCCGACCCATCGCTCCCCCACACGCCAAGCGCTGCCCGTCTGGCTAATGCCCCCCCCCACCTCGGCAGGAGCTGCGTCCCTTGTGCTCAGGGTGGGGCCTGGCACTGAAGCGTCCAAGCGTTTCGCAGCGGGCACCGTTTGCACACAGTCGCCGTGAAGTGGAATGAAGAGGAAAAAAGGAGAAGGAGGGTGCAAAATGCTCTTTCCCAACCCAAACACCTCCACCCGCCCACTTCGCAGGGTATCACAAGGTGCCAGCCAAACCTTCTCTGCCAGTTGGCACCTTTTTGTCACACGTTGGAGCGCTAAGAAAAACCTGCGCCAACCAAGGACATCGCTGTTAACAGGTAGGTGCCTCTGCAGTTTTGTTACTTCTTGTCCTGATTTCATTCACAGCTGTTTGTCGTGCAGAGTGAAGCCCCCTTCCCTGCTGCCCCCACCCCACCTGACGAGATGGGGAGAGAATCTTCTGCTGCGTGGGAACAACAAAGGCCAGAGCTCCCAGGGCTGGGGTCCCAAACTCTCTCTGCGCTGAGAATCGAACCCTCTGCCCTTCTTCCCCACTCGCTGCAGGGCCTTGCCTGGTTGCCACCTGAGAAACAGATGTGCAGAGACCCAATTGGGGTTGCCCCCCCGTGCCTACCTTTCCGTAGATGGCTTGTATCGGGCGTAGGCCGCCCCCGCTGCTGCCCCCGAAGAGCCTGGCATGGAGAAGCTGCCCGAGGGCTGGCGATAGGACAGGATCCTCTCTGCCCCAGGCTGCGAGGAAGAGAGCGCCGGGGGGTCTCTGGGAAGCTCACTGGCCTGGAGGGGGGGAGGCACAGAGAGAGAGAGAGAGAGAGAGAGAGAGATCAGGAAGAGGAACTTCAGCGCTCTCCCCGGTGCCCAGCAGCGCCTCGGCAGGCAGCTCCGCACATGTGCCTGACGCCAGAGCCTCTTCTGAACATCCTCAGCAGAGAGAGATAATGGAGCAATTAGTCAAGGGGGGAGGCAATGGGAGAAGGAAAGAGCTTGAGTCATGACCCACAGGGCACATGCGCTCTGCGGCAGGACCGTCCAAAGGGCACTGGTAGGCAGGGAGCGCCGTGGGGAAGCTGCGAAGATGTTGGATGCAGCAGGAGGGCGAGGCTGCCAGGGGGAGAAAATGAGCAAGCCAAGCGCCCCCCCCACGCCCGACCATCCTCCTCCTCCTCACCTCTTGCCATGCAGGGGCTGGGGCTCTCGGTAAGGGGTCACGGAGCTCTGCTTTGGGGTCCTGGTCAGGGACTGGGACTGGCCGTGGCTCGGCTGCGAGGAGCCGTGGGTGGCAGAGCTGCTCCACTGCCAGGCGGAGTTGCTGCGGTAGGAGGGCCGGTAGCCCACTGGCAGGCTCTCCTGCTCCCCCTTGGCCTCCAGGGTGCTCATCTTGAAGGACTCGGCCCAGCCCCTGCAGAGGGAGAGAGCAGAGCAGAGGCGCACTGAGCAAAGCTCTCCACCGTCCGCACAGAACGGGGTTGGGTTGGATGACCCTCCGCACCCCTTCCGACTCTTCCTTTAGAGCAGCGGTTCTCAACCTGTGGGTCCCCAGCTGAACTACAACTCCCATCACCCCTGAGCTCTGGCCTTGCTAGCTAGGGGTGATGGGAGTTGTAGTTCAGCTGGGGACCCACAGGTTGAGAATGGCTGCTAGTGCCATCGAAGTTGGCCCTTGTGGCCTCCACCAGGCCAGAGGCAACGCAAGCAGATCCAAAAGGGCCCGTCTGGCCACACATCCTGTCCTTGTGGTGACCAGATACCCCTAAGAACCCAGGAATCGTGATAGACTGCCCCTGGACCACAATAACGTAAGAAGAGCTCGGCTGCTGGATCAGGCCCAGACTCCTGTTTTCACAGGGGCCAAAAACCGCAAGTAGGATCCAAGCACAAGAAACCTCTCCCCATCTCCTGTGACTTCCAGCAATTAGCACTCAGGAGAATCGCTGCCTCCAACTGTGAAGGAAGAAGAAGAAGAGTTTGGATTTGATATCCCGCCTTATCACTACCCTAAGGAGTCTCAAAGCGGCTAACATTCTCCTTTCCCTTCCTCCCCCACAACAAACACTCTGTGAGGTGAGTGGGGCTGAGAGACTTCAGAGAAGTGTGACTGGCCCAAGGTCACCCAGCAGCTGCATGTGGAGGAGCGGGGAAGCGAACCCAGTTCACCAGATTACGAGTCCACCGCTCTTAACCACTACACCACACTGGCACAGCACAGTCACCCTGGCTAAGAGCCATCGACAGCCCTCCCCTTCTCCTCCAGGGATTTCTCTCATCCTCTTTTAAAGCCATCCCTGGCTCCTGTGGGAGGGAGTTCCGCAGTCCAACACTGAGCTGCATGAGGAAGGACTTTCGGTTACCTGAGTCATGCACATGGCAGGGGCTGCCAAGATGTGTGGCTTATGAAACAAGGAGAGAGACATGTGCTCAGGGAGACGGTGGGGAGCTGTGCTCATTGACCCCCCAAAACCACACACACACTTTGCAGCTCCGACCCTCCAATGGCCCGATGTAAGAACTTCCATGCAATTCTCGGAAGCAAAGAATCACGCTGAGTCAACCTTTGCGAAGACCTCTTCCCATGACTCACCCTCAACTTCCCCCATCCAGCACGTGTCTCTGGGCTGCCCCCCAATTCCAAAAGGAGCCCCTCTTTTCTGGCTCTTTCTTGGGTGACCACAGGAAGGTTCAAGGGCAGGGGCCACCTCTGCACCAAACCAGAACTTCCAGCGCAGCGGGAAGGCTGGATTTCAGAACGGGAGGGACAGCCTCAGGCTCCGTGGGATTGATGAAGACACCCTACCGCCTAGTGGTGGGCTTCCCCTGGCCAGGTGGGTCTGCACCCATTTCTCTGGGGTGCTACTGTTTGCTTAGGGGGCACAGCACACGGAGCTGCAAATTTCACTCACCCAGGCAAGTCTCTAGCAAAAGCGAGCATCGGATTCCTCCCTCCGCCAGCTGGATCTCCAAAAAGCAGTGCTGGGAAGGATGAAGTCATTGGCAACAAGCCTTGGCAGGGAGATCTGCCCCCCCCCCGGCAACACCCCGGCTTCAAGGGCCCGACAGGACCACCTCGCTCAAATTTCAAGGCCACCAATACCTGCCTCTGCTGGGGGAGCCCCACTGCCCACCCCCTTGGCTCCTTGGAGAGGAAGGGCAAGCAGCCGCCTCAGTGCCAGTTCAGCCATTGTGCTCGTGCACTCCGTTCGGCACCGGCAATTTGGTTGGGGGGGTGGGAGGAGGGCGGACGTGCCGGCAAGCCGAGGGGTGCCTCAACTTGCTCTCCCAACCACACCTGGCGAATCAGGCAGGAAGTTGGAGAGGCCAAGGGCACAGCTGGGGCTCGGGAGGATGCTACTTAACTCTTTGCAGGCTCTATGCGTCCGCCTCCTCTAGAGGAGATGAGTAAGAGCAGCCCACTCGCAGGCGGGAGCGGAAAGGGGCCGCGCAGGGTGGAGAACTTCCCAAAAAGGGGAGTCTGGGGAAAGCCAGCATGAAACGCTCGCCGTCCTCACCTCGCTCACTGCAAACGCAGCTTTTCACATCCAAAGCTCTTAAAAAACAGGAACCGCAAAGCTCGCCTTCCCCCCCGTTGCTGTGGAATTCCCTCCACGCAGCTTCCGGCCGGATGCTGAAGTCACACCTGAGATGCGTGTCTGCGGGACGCACCCTCTTCCCATGGCCATTATTTGTTCTGGCTGCTTTTAATTCTGGGTTTAAAAGTGCCATGAGCTGCCCTGGGGACGTGCCGGTGAAGGGCAGGTAATAAACCTCTGAACAACCGCAACAATGACAACACTAATGTTTACAGATGGGAGACTGAGTCGGCGACCTGCCTGTGGTCAGCTGTGGCATGCAAACCCAGAAGCGCCCCCCCACCCCCACAAAGGGTCCATGTGTAAAACTCTTCCACACTGCTTGGCCATGATGCCTTCTGGCAAGAAGCGTTCGGATGCTGTTTAGCTCAGGATCAGTGTCAAGAGGACAATGGCTTAAGAACCAGAAGTACCGTATTTTTCGCTCCATAAGACGCACTTTTTTCTTCCTAAAAAGTAAGGGGAAATGTCTGTGTGTCTTATGGAGCAAATGTGTGGTCCCTGGAGCCGAATTGCCCAGGGGCGAAAAGCAGATCATGCAATGGCGCAAAAACGTGGTTACAAAGCACGGATCCACATGGATTCTCAGGATTTTTGCATTGGGCTACCCCAAACTCACTGTCAAATCACATGTCTGTGGCCACAGCATGAACCACAAAAATCATACATCCACTGTTTCGTTCCAATTTTTTTTTCTTGTTTTCCTCCTCTAAAAACTAGTTGTGTCTTATGGTCAGGTGCATCTTATGGAGCAAAAAATACGGTAACTCCATCTCTACCCCCCGCCGACTTGGGGACGTCTCGCTCACCAGAATAAGAGTGGGCTCAGTAAGAAACAGAACATCTACCACCGGTCTTGCAACGACTGCCCCCAAGCATCCACTGACTACAACCTGGGAGAGATGATGCACAGGGGCCGGGCTCTGTGCTGCCCTTCCCCCCGACCCTGCGCTTGAGCCGGGGACTGTTCCCTCCTGCTCTGGTGACTGGGAGGCCAGGAGCGGATCTGAATCCTGAACCGACATCTGAAACGGCTCCTCGCTCTCCTCTCCCAGACTCCTCAGGCGCAAAACAGCTGTACGCCGGCATGGTTACGTTCCAGCAATGCAGGGCGCGGCCCAGATTCCCCCCCAGGGAGCCCTCATTCCTGAGCAATGCAGTCAGTCCTGAGTAGGGTGTCAGCACACCCGTCCTCACTCTCTGTTAGCCTCTGTTCCCGGGAAACGGGCGGAAAGCATCGTCCCAAGACAGAATGGCCAAGCCTTTGGAAGAACAAGTTTTGTTGGAGGAGGGCCAGCAAGGCTTCTTCAGGGTCAAGTCACAGAATCCTAGAACTGTAGAGTTGGAAGGGAACCTTACAGTCATCTAGTCCAACCCCCTGCAGTGGCTAACCTGAAGGAGCGTCTCCACCCCCATTATTCAGCCTGGACACTGAGGTCCAGCCCTGAGGGCCTTCTGGCAGTTCCCTCTCTGCGAGAAGTGAGGTTACAGGGAACCAGGCAGAGGGCCTTCTCAGTGGTGGTGCCCCCCCTGTGGAATGCCTCCCATCAGATGTCAAGGAAATAAACAACTATCTGACTTTGAGAAGACATCTGAAGGCAACCCTGTACAGAAGTTTTTAATATTTGATATTTTATTCTGTTTTTAATCTATTGGGAGCTGCCCAGAGTAGCTGGGGAGACTCAGCCAGATGGGTGGGGTATGTATGTATGTATGTATGTATGAATAAATATTATTATTATTATTATTTTCTATAAGCATAGGGATGCGGGGGTAAACCACAGTGTCTAGGGCTTGCCAATCGGAAGGTCAGCGGTTCAAATCCCTGCGACGGGGTGAGCTCCTGTTGCTCGGTCCCTGCTCCTGCCAACCTAGCAGTTCGAAAGCACGCCAGTGCAAGTAGATAAATAGGTTCCACTCCAGCGGGAAGGTAAACGGCGTTTCCGTGCGCTGCTCTGGTTCGCCAGAAGCAGCTTAGTCATGCTGGCCACATGACCCGGAAGGTGTCTGCAGACAAACGTCAGCTCCCTCAACCAGTAAAGTGAGATGAGCACCACAACCCCAGAATCGTTTACGACTGGACTTAACTGTCAGGGGTCCTTTACTTTACCTTTATAAGCATATGGAAAGGGGTGATGCAGGAAGTACAGTGTACTTAAGACTCTCCAAAAGCCACTGATCAAGTCCCTCACCAAAGACTCTTGAGTAAGCGTAGCAGACACAGATTAACAGGAGAGGGCCTGTCATGGGACTCAGCTCTACAGCTGCAAATAAAACATTGTGAGTGTGTTGTAAAAGGTAAAGGTACCCCTGCCCGTACAGGCCAGTCTTGTCAGACTCTAGGGTGGTGCGCTCATCTCACTCTAGAGGCCGGGAGCCAGCGCTGTCCGCAGACACTTCCGGGTCACATGGCCAGCGTGACGAAGCTGCTCTGGCGAGCCAGCGCAGCACATGGAACGCCGTTTACCTTCCCGCTAGCAAGCGGTCCCTATTTATCTACTTGCACCCGGGGGTGCTTTTGAACTGCTAGGTTGGCAGGCGCTGGGACCGAGCAACGGGGGCGCACCCTGTCGCAGGGATTTGAACCGCCGACCATGCGATCGGCAAGTCCTAGGCGCTGAGGTTTAACCCACAGCGCCACCCGCCACCCGTGTTGTAAAGTGCAGTAAACAAATGTGACACTAGATGGTGACTGTTAGCCTTATGGCGAATTCAATACAGTTTTCAATACGAAAGAAAAAGCATTTCTACAGCGTTTTTTTGTATGTGCCTAGATTCCACCAGATGGTGACAACAGTCACGAAATTAAAAGACGCCTGCTCCTTGGGAGAAAGGTGATGGCAAACCTAGACAACATCTTAAAAAGCAGAGACATCACCTTGCCAACAAAGGTCCGTATAGTAAAAGCCATGGTTTTCCCAGTAGTGATGTATGGAAGTGAGAGCTGGACCATAAAGAAGGCTGATCGCCGAAGAATGGATGCTTTTGAATTCTGGTGCTGGAGGAGACTCTTGAGAGTCCCATGGACTGCAAGAAGATCAAACCTCTCCATTCTGAAGGAAATCAGCCCTGAATGCTCCCTGGAAGGACAGATCCTGAAGCTGAGGCTCCAATACTTTAGCCACCTCATGAGAAGAGAAGACTCCCTGGAAAAGACCCTGATGTAGGGAAAGATGGAGGGCGCAAGGAGAAGGGGACCACAGAGGACGAGATGGTGGGACAGTGTTCTCGAAGCTACCAGCATGAGTTTGGCCAAACTGCGGGAGGCAGTGGAAGACAGGAGTGCCTGGCGTGCTCTGGTCCAGGGGGTCACGAAGAGTCGGACACAACTAAACAACAACAACAACAACAGATTCCACCATGGACTGGTAACTGGTTAAGGAACAGGAGAACCAGAGAACAGGATAAGGTATGCGGAAAGTCCCTCAAGCATCACTTGGGCCTCTGCTTGCTAACTTGTTCACAAATGACCTGGAGTTGGGGGAGAGCAGCAAGGGGGCCAAAATTTACAGATCACATAGAGGAGCAAAAAGGGATTGTGAGGAATTGAAACTAGAGTAATGTGAAGCCCACTGGCTCAAGATATTTCCTCACTTGGCATGTGTTTAGGGGGAGCTGGAACTGGCAGTGACTGACCAGGAACGAGATCGTGGGGTTGTACTGAATGAGCAAAATCAAAATGTTGACCCAGCCATTCTGACTTCCGTGCACAAAGCTTATTGCAGAGATTAGATAGTAGTCAGTCTTTATTGAGTCTTTATCTTCACTGAGCATTTGCTCTGATTGGTTTATGGGGCGCTTAGACAATACTGGGGAGACGCGGGTGGCGCTGTGGTCTAAACCACAGAGCCTAGGGCTTGCCGATCGGAAGGTCAGAGGTTCGAATCCCTGCGACGGAGTGAGCTCCCGTTGTTTGGTCCCAGCTCCTGCCAACCTAGCAGTTCGAAAGCATGTCAAAATGCAAGTAGATAAATAGGTACCGCTCCGGCGGGAAGGTAAACAGTGTTTCCGTGTGCTGCTCCGGTTCGCCAGAAGTGGCTTAGTCATGCTGACCACATGACCCGGAAGCTGTCTGTGGACAAATGTTGGCTCCCTCGGCCTATAGAGCGAGATGAGCATGCAACCCCAGAGTTGTCCGTGACTGGACCTCACGGTCAGGGGTACCTTTAGACAACACTGAGCCTCCATCCTGCCTCTTTTCTGATTTCTAGGCTTCCCCTCATCGCTCATCCACCCACCCCACATTTCTCAATGCATTTCTCTGTCACTTTCCAAACTGCAAGAAGTCTCTTTTGAAACATGGATGTGTTGCGCTAGGGAGACAAAGGCCACAAGACACCCAAACTCCCCTCTCCCTGCTGTTCTACCACTTGGGGCAAGGGGCGAGGTCAAGCGACCGCCTCCCCACACACCCTGAGACCTCCTTTACAGATCACATACAGGAGCAAAAAGGGATTGTGAGGAATTGAAGCTAGAGTAATGTGAAGCCCACTGGCTCAAGATATTTAAGGGCCTGCAGCAACTGGGACGTTAGGGTGAAGGCTGGGCAATTAATAAAAACCGTAACAGCAAACAGTTAACGGTAAAGGGACCCCTGACCATTAGGTCCAGTCGTGGCCGACTCTGGGGTTGCGGCGCTCATCTCGCTTTATTGGCCAAGGGAGCCGACGTACAGCTTCCGGGTCATGTGGCCAGCATGACTAAGCTGCTTCTGCCGAACCAGAGCAGCACACGGAAACGCCGTTTCCCGCTGGAGTGGTACCTACTTATCTACTTGCACTTTGATGTGCTTTCGAATTGCTAGGTTGGCAGGAGCAGGGACCGAGCAATGGGAGCTCACCCCGTCGCAGGGTTTCGAACCATCGACCATCTGATCGGCAAGTCCTAGGCTCTGTGGTTTAACCCACAGCGCCCAAGCCTAAATGGATATGTTGCTTGAGGCAGAACTGAGCGTCCACTGCAACATCAGCCACAAGCTTTGCCCATCACTCACGGGGACAGTAATGGAGACCCGGGTGCCACCCAAATGATGCTGGGACTCCAACTCCCATCAGTCCCAGCCGCCATGGGAGGGCACAAGGAGAAGGGGATGACAGAGGACGAGATGGTGGGACAGTGTCACAGAAGCTACCAGCATGAGTTTGACCAAACTACGGGAGGCAGTGGAAGACAGGAGTGCCTGGTGTGCTCTGGTCCATGGGGTCAAGAAGAGTCGGACACGACTAAACGACTAAACAACAGTCTAACTGAACTTCAGGACAGCCCTTCCTCAGGTGCAGGCGGGCTCTCCTCCACCGGAGGCTGCACAAACTGTTTGCCAGGGACCCCGAACCAGCCTCCTGCCTTGCAGATCAGGCACTGACAACACTGCTTCCACGGCCCTTGCCAGCTCTGCGATGAGCAGCTGGAGCAAAAGCGTGCAAAAGGGGTCCATGTGAGGCCACCCGATGGGCCTGGCTGTGTCCTCTTGGCACAGCACAATGGTTTGGTGCAGAACAGACAGGTATGTGGAGCCACAGGAGTCATTTTGCTGCTGTCAGCCTGCCAGGCATTGGACGCAAAGCAAGGCCAACGTTACCTGCGAGGGACGCCGTCCTCGTGCGGAGGGACGATGACCACCTTCACCGTCACAGAGGTGCGCAGCCAGTCGATCATCTGGTCGTGGCTGAGCGTGACCACGGCCACCTTGCAGATCTCCACCAGCCGGCTGCCCTGGCGCAGCCCCGCCTGCCAGGCAAAGCCGTAGTCCTCCACCTCGGCCACCGTCCCGTCAAACTTCACGTGGAAGCCCAGCTGCCCCAGCCCGTTCCTCCGCAGCGTCATCTCCACCGTCTCGCAGCCAGAGGTCATGACCTAGAGAAAGAATCGGAAGGGGCAAAGAAGAGTGGAACCATAAGGGACCGCAAGGGTCATCTGGTCTGACCCCCCCGAATTGCAGGGATCACCGCTCAACCTCTGCTTAAGAAACTCCAAGGAAGGATTGCACCCCATCTTCCAGTGGCAGGTGGTGAAATTTTTCGTAGGGGAACAGTTACGGCCAGAGGCGCTGGTTTGCCAGGACACGTGTATGATGTTGTGACGTCCCAATGTTCCACTTGTGAGCATCATGCCTCTCTCCCTAAGCCGGGCAGAAGCTTTCCAGGCTCTGGGAAGGAGGCACTGGGCTTTAACACTTTATTAATTTACTGGGAGGGACGCAGGTGGCGCTGTGGGTTAAACCACAGAGCCTAGGGCTTGCCGATCAGAAGGTCGGCGGTTCAAATCCCTGTGACGGGTTGAGCTCCCGTTGCTCGGTCCCTGCTCCTGCCAAACTAGCAGTTTAAAAGCATGCCAAAGTGCAAGTAGATACATAGGTACCGCTCCAACAGGAAGGTAAACAGCGTTTCCATGCGCTGCTCTGGTTCACCAGAAGCGGCTTAGTCATGCTGGCCACATGACCCGGAAGCTGTACACCAGCTCTCTCGGCCAGTAAAGCAAGACGAGCGCCACAACCCCAGAGTTGGCCATGACTGGACCTAATGGTCAGGGGTCCCTTTACCTTTCCCTTAATTTACTGGGAACATTTAGGGGACCAGTCTAGCCCCCCCCCCCAGTCCACCAACCGTATGCCACTGCCACTTTCTGAAGGAGACCGTTCCGCTCTGTAGCGGCTCTGACCATTGCAAAGTTATTCCTAAGCTTTAGTTGCAATCTGCCCCCCCCCATAATTTTTATAAACTTGGTTTCAAACCCCCATCCGCTCCACGCATGCAAGCAAAGGGTCCAAGGGTCCTGACTTAATGTGGCTGTCACTGACCTTCAGGCGCTGCACAATCTCCTTGATGTCCTCCGGATTGCTCTCCAGGGCCCGGATGAAAATGTGGTCCCCGCACCCCGTAGAAGACCTTGATGCTGAACGTGTCCGGCGTCCACCCGATCACGTCCGCGCAGAAGCAGTTGAAGACCACCTCTTTGGTGCCGAGGTCCAAGAGGACGACAAACTCGTTGGAGATGCCCAAGATGCACTCGATCTCCAGCCCCTGGGTGTAATCCTGCGCCTGCACGTGCCACGCAATGGCCCCGGCGCTGTGCTGCTCAGCCCCCGGCCGGGCTTTCGTCTTCTCCTTCTTCTTGGAGGCCAGCGAGATCAGGTTGAACTTCCCCGTGGAGTCGATGGGCGTGCTGGTGACGCAGTTCTCCGCCAGGTCCTTCAGGTACTCCTGCCGGGTCCGCGTGGCCATGGTGTGGAACTTGTCCGACTTGTGGGCCGCGTTCTCGGCGTTGATCACCTTGGCCAGCAGGAAGTCCCGGAAGACGTCGGATTTGTGGAAGGCGGCTCGGCTGGGGATGGCTGGCCCAAAGGGAGGGACGTCTTTGGAGCGGGTCACTGCCACGCTGGGGACACGGAAGGAGAGAAGTGGGAAGCACAGCTTGGACCAAGCAGAAGGCAGGAGCCGGCCGGCAGTAAATCCCAGCAGTTTATACCTGGTAGGTCTTGCCCCACGGATCAGTTGCCCAGACTGAAAGTTCCCACCTCCCCTCCGCCATCTCAGTCTCCACCTCTCCAGGGTTTTCCCCAAACAATCAGAGCCTTAGCCTGCGTGAAGCCAACCTCCTCTCCGCCCTTTTCATGCCTCTCCTGGTTCTGGGAGACCAGGGAGGAGGGGAGCGGGTCACAGCAGGAGGGGGAGACACCCGGGCCACTTCACCAGCCAAACTCATCTCTGCATCTTGGCTTGCCTCTTCTCCTGCCTCTGAATCTGGACCTCTTGGTGCCACAGACCCTTCCTGTTGCAGCTGAATGATGTCATGATGACCTCATGTGACGGGCAGAAAGGTGGCCCCGCCCACTTGTCAAATTTGGCCCTGGTCCATAGCTATCAACTTACAGATTTGAAAATAAGGGACCAGCAGCCTCAAAAATAAGGGATCAGCAGCCAAAATAAGGGATTTTCCGGGCACAGGTATGTTCAACTTCTGAGCCCCTCCGAGCCAAAGGCAGAAAGCCCAGCCAGCAGCCAAACGAAGCCTCAAGCCTCAAGGAAAACCGTCACCTCTCCGCTGGGAAGCGCTGAGCAAAGGCGAGTCCCCTGGCAACGCAGCCGATTTGATCAGCACAAGGCATGCAAGTTCCACCCTCCAGTCGTTCTTAGACTTCTTATTGGGTGAGCAACGCAGCCAAGCAACACAGTTGGAGCCTCCCTCCTCCCTGGCCGGCAGGGAGGGAGGGAGAGGAGCTGCTTCCTTTGAAACCCGGGAAATTTAAGGGACATCATCAATAAGGGACAGCAGCGGGACACAGCGCTGGGATAAGGGACTTTCCCACCAAAAAAGGGACGCTTGACAGCTATGCCCTGGTCACCTCAAAAGCTCACTTGGCCCATAGGATAAGCATTCCTCCTGACTAGCGTTAGCTCTGCCTGGGGGGCTTCCTCCCTCCTGCCAGACCCTTCTAGAACGACTACTGCAGGGGGTTGGACTACATGACCCTGGAGCCCATTCCAACTGCACCATTTGATGATTCTGCCAGAGCGTCTGTGGGATGAGCCTGGGGCCCCTTTCAGGGAGGGGGTGTTACCTGTAGCAAACATTCTCTGTGCAGGGATTCTGGGCCCGGACGATGATGAAGACATGCTGGAAATGGGAGCGGATGTTCTGGGGGGTAAAGGGCAGAGCCCCCGGCTCCTGGAAGATGATGGTGACAATGTCGTTCCCAATGTGCCTCTTCCTGAGCAGCTGGCGGAGGAAGGAGGAGACAGACAGAGGGGGGTCTCAGTTATTCATCTGAAGTGTTCCTCAAGCGCATTTTCATCCAGACCCAGGGCCACGCATGCAAACGATACAGTCCGATCGTATCCTGCATGGGGGTTTGGGCCCAAGGGCTCCACATAGGCGCAAGAATGCACATACTCAAACTACCCCTGTGCCAGCGTCCCTAAGCTTCTATCTGGAGCAGGCTTTGCCCCCAAAAGCAAGGCAGAGAGCTTAAAACAGGGGTAGGCAACCTAAGGCCCAGGGGCCGGATGCGGCCCAATCACCTTCTCAATCCAGCCCGCGGACGGTCCGGGAATCAGCGTGTTTTTACATAAATAGAATGTGTCCTTTTATTTAAAATGCATCTCTGTGTTATTTGTGGGAATCATAGGAATTCATCCATATTTTTTCCCCAAAAATATAGTCTCGAAAAATATGTTCTCGAAGCTACCAGCATGAGTTTGACCAAACTGCGGGAGGCAGTGGAAGACAGGAGTGCCTGGCGTGCTCTGGTCCAGGGGGTCACGAAGAGGCGGACACAACTGAACGACTAAACAACAACAACAAGTCCGGCCCACCACATCGTCTGAGGGACGGTGGACCGCCCCCCTGCTGGAAAAGGTTGCTGACCCCTGGCTTAAAAGCTCGCCTTGCACCATGTGCTCCAAGCACAAACAGCACTTTTAAGCTCTCTGCCTTGCTTGCATTCAACCGACTGGCTGTCATCCGTGTAAGGTTGACATTGCACAAGTTAACTAACAAGCCTCCAACAAAATATTAAAAATACAATATAACATCAGACATGAAAAACTTCCCTAGACACATAAGGTTTAGGGCAGTATTAGGACAGTAAGAAAGCAACACATAACGAAAGCTGAGAACAACGCCCCAAATCTCAATAGACCTCTGCATCCAGATGTGCTGGTGGGAGGAAAGAAGAGAGCAGAAAAGCAGAAAAGCGCAAGAGGTCCAGGTGGTGGCAAGGCAGCGCCACTGAGGGCATCCCTGAACGCAGGAACACATTTGGACACCCAGCCAAGGGGCGCTGGATATGCGACAAAGGAGGTGGGATTGCCAGGACCCCCCAGAAGGCCACAGCTGTTGCCTCAAAACATGTCCGGCATCCCTTGCTCTCTGGGGTCAGGGGGACCAAACGTTTTTATTTCATTTTCCGTTTTAATTTGCACGCCGCTTTTCTTTCTACGTTGCTTGAACACAAGGCGGTTCTGCAAGCTGCAGGACCAACAAAATGGGCAGCGAAGATCCCACATCTTATAATCTGATCAAATAAGTCATTTTCTTTAAAAAAAATGCAACCCCCCACTTGCGTGGGGCCCATCACTTACCTGCTGCCTATTGTTGGGGGTGTAAGGAAGCATCGTGGAAACGTGGAACATGATCTCGTAGCCCTGGTAGGTGGTGTAGAGAGAGTGGGTGCCCGTGGAGTCGGCTGGAAGGCAAAAGCAAGCAGGAGGGATGCTCAGGAGGGACTGGCAGAGGGGACTACTGGGTGGAGAGGAGGGATGGGCTGGGCGGCTCCTGGCTGCCTTCACAGCCTCCCCCCCCCCCCCGAGCAGAGTTGGGGAACGGGAGGTTTCGGGGGAACAGAGAGCAGCCAGCCGACCTGCCGGCCTTCTGCCTGCCCCCAGCCAATGGCCAGAGGGACCTACTTTTGGTGTCCAGCTGGGCGGCATACTTGTCGAAGCCCCTGAGGCACACCTTCTCCCCCAGCAGCGCCAGGAACTCCTCAAAGGCAGGCCCGGCCTCTTCGTTGTTGTACATCTCCTCCTCGGAGCTCTGGTCGGCTTTGCAGTACAGGACGCCCACCTTGTGCTTGCGGCACAGCTGAGGGGGCAGAAAGAAGAGGGAGACACACAGCCGGGTGAGAAGCGGCAAGCAGGGGGAGGCATCGCGAGAGACACTTCCCGTGCCACGCGTCGCAGGATCCGGCCACGACGGGGCCAGCCTCCTTCTTCCCAGACTGGCAGAAGGGCACGAGCAGGGAAAGGAGGCGAGGGCGTCCCTCAGAGGAACGCCGCAAGGTGTTCCTCTGCGCATGTTCAGAGCGTTGAGACCGTAGCTGGAACAGGCCACAAAGGGGAGTCCAGCACCCCGCTTCTCTTTTTTTAAAAAAATATTTTTTATTGATTTTAACATATAAATTATAAAATGTACCACAAAACTTATCACTTATACAATCTTTTTAGACTTCCATCTGCACCTCTGATGATCCACCGTTTTAACCACTTCTTATGCATTTCTTAGGGACACAGGTGGTGCTGTGGGTTAAACCACAGAGCCTAGGACTTGCCGGTCAGAAGGTCGGCGGTTCGAATCCCCACGACGGGGTGAGCTCCCGTTGCTCGGTCCCTGCTCCTGCCAACCTAGCAGTTCAAAAGCACATCAAAGTGCAAGTAGATAAATAGGTACTGCTCCGGCGGGAAGGTAAATGGCGTTTCCGTGCGCTGCTCTGGTTCGCCAGAAGCGGCTTGGTCATGCTGGCCACATGACCCGGAAGCTGTACACCGGCTCCCTCGGCCAATAAAGCGAGATGAGCACCGCAACCCCAGAGTCGGCCACGACTGGACCTAATGGTCAGGGGTCCCTTTACCTTTTATGCATTTCTTAACTTTATATTGCCTTTACATCTCTTAACAAATCATCCTTCCCCTTCTCCATTTTAGCAATAGTTCCAATAATACTCCTCACAAAACTTCTTGCAAACCTACAAACGTCATCTGATCTACGGCACTCCGCTTCTCAAAGTGGCCAGCCAGCGGCCCGAATGCGAATCCTGCAAGCAGGACCTGAGCAGAACAGCAGCAGAGGGAGAACAAGGCCCCTGCGGCTCGCAGCCCTTGACAGCCGTCTCTTCTGCCATCAATTTGTCTATCTTTGCCACCCAAGTTGAGGCCATCCCCTGCCTCCCAGGAAATGAGTTTCAGAGTTTGTGTCTGCTGCCTAAAGAATGACTTTCCTTTGGATCTTCCCACACTCAGCTTTTCCCATGGGATTCGAACATGACCATCATCTCTCCTCTTTCTCCACAACAAATGTCACCATCATCTGCATCTCAGCCATATCTTCTCTTACTCAGCTTTTCCCGAAACCGCAAAGTCCCAAATGCGGCAACCTTCCCTTGCCGGGGATCCCCTGATCTCTCTGGCTGCCCTTTCATCTCAACCTTTCCCAGATCTACTGCAGTCGTACCTTGGTTCTCAAACAAGAGTCCGTTCGACTCCCGGAACTGTTCAAAAACCAAGATGCGGCTTCCGATTGGCTGCAGGAGTGTCCTGCAGCCAATCAGAAGCTGCGTCAGATGTTCGGCTTCCAAAAATTGCTTGAAAATCGGAACACTCGCTTCCGGGTTTCGATCGTTCAGGAGCCGATTTGTTCGGAAGCCAAGGCGTTTGAGATCCAAGGTACGACTGTACATCCTTTTGGAGGCGAGGCAACCAGAGCGGCAGGCAGTAGGATGTCTGCCCCCAAATCCAGTGGATCTCTCCTGCTCCCTGAATCTACCTCATCCCCTTTCAGAGCCCTCAATGCCCATCCCATTTTGCATACCTCTCCCGGTATGCCCCACGGGGGACCTTAATGTCCATAAATAGCAGCATCCTAGAGGTCCCGGGCCCTAAGGAAGTCAGATTAGCCTCAACCAGAGCCAGGGCCTTTTCAACACTGGCCCCGGCCTGGTGGAACGCTCTGTCTCATGAGACCAGGGCCCTGCAGGATCTGATTTCTTTCCGCAGGGCCTGTAAGACAGAGTTGTTCCACCTGGCCTTTGGCTTGGAATCAGTTTGATTCCCTCTCCCTCTTTGTTTTTCCCTTTCTCCTCCTGTGAAGAGGCCGCATCTTAATGTTTTAATGTTGTATTTTAATCTTGTTTTTTAAATTGTATTTTAATCAACTTGTTTTTATTATTGGTTGTTAGCCGCCCTGAGCCGGTCTTGGCTGGGGAGAGCGGGGTAAAATAAAATTTTATAAAAATAAAATTTATTATTTATTATTATTATTATTATTATTATTATTATTATTATTATTATTTCCCACAAATTGCTGACATGTCTTTTCTTCTGTCTGATACTCCCAAGCTCTAGTATGATTTGGCACATTCGTGTTTCTCTCCACCCCGTCTCCTGCCCTTCACCCCACTGACCAGGGAGCAAGGACGGAAGAGGGGCCAATGCCCACCACCCCCCGGCCATCCCACCCCCACCTCCCCCCGCCTCGCTCACCCCCTGCTCGTCCAGCTTCCGCAGCTGCTCCGTGACTTTGGGGACACTGAGGGCCAGGCGGAGGCAGTGGATGTTCAGCTCGGGGACCACGTTCTCTAGCACATCCTTGAGGGGGAGCCCGCGGACGGTGCCATGCTTGGTGGAGGTGGGCGTGGCATCCTCCAGGATGGAGCCACGGAGGGTGGTCAGCTGCAAGGAGAGAGAGAGTCTGGTCAGAGGAGCCTTCCTGGCATTTCCTGTCCGGACCTGCCACGTGGGTGGAGCTAACCGACACGGACCGCTTTGTGGTGGCTCCCGCCCCCAGCGGAGCGGAAAGCCAGCAGCTGAAACTGGCCCAACAGGGCACCCAGGAAGAGACGCTGCCCACATGGCTCAGGAACAGGGTCCCCTGGAGATGGTGCTTTCCTCCATTTTGGTCTCAGAGTGTTGGAAGAGAGGGATAATAAACTGTTTTTATATGCAGTAACGGCAGCAAGAATATTACTGGCACAGAAATGGAAATGAGAACTACCGACCAAAGAAGAATGGCAGACGAAATTAATGGACCCTGCAGAATTAAATAAGATGACAGGAAGGATCCGAAACCTGCGGGACCAGAGATTCTCAGAGGACTGGAGTAAATATCTGAACTATTTGAAAAGCAATTGTACTAAACAGATTACGCTAGCAGGACTTCAAGAAGTTTTGTAAGAAGGGCTATGCGAAGTATTGCAGAGAAGATTATGAAGAGAGTTATTAGTTAAAGGTAATTGAAAGTAATAAAGAAATTAAGAAATGTAGATTAAGTGATAAAGGCTGAAAAATGTTCAGATGTGGTTGATGGAAGTCCAAAACATTGTATAAGATAACAAAGTATGTGATATGATTTTTGGAAATTATTTGGAAAAATCTATATATCTATATCTATATCTCTAATCTATATCTCTATCTATAAAGGTAAAGGGGACCCTGACCATTAGGTCCAGTTGCAGATGACTCTGGGGTTGCAGCGCTCATCTCGCTTTACTGGTCGAGGGAGCCGGCGTACAGCTTCCGGGTCATGTGGCCAGCATGACTAAGCCGCTTCTGGCGAACCAGAGCAGCACACGGAAACGCCGTTTACCTTCCCACCAGAGTGGTACCTGTTTATCTACTTGCACTTTGACGTGCTTTTGAACTGCTAGGTTGGCAGGAGCAGGGACAGAGCATCGGGAGCTCACCCCGTTGCGGGGATTCGAACCGCCGACCTTCTCATCAGCAAGACCTAGGCTCTGTGGTTTAACCCACAGCGCCACCCGTGTCCCATATCTATATCTAGCTATACATCATAGTGTTGGAAGAGAGAGGCAACCTCGAGACACACCTCAGAGCCCAATTCTGAACATTTAAAGGTTTGTCTCCAATTCACTTTGCAAATTTCAAAGATTTGCGAACAGAGATTGAAAAACAGGAAAGCTGGAAGAGGGGATGTTTGGGTTCCAGTTTTCAAATAGCAAGGTGGCTTCTTGCAGGGAAGACCGTTCACTTTCCCTAGATAATGGAAATATGTATCTTGAAAAGGGCAGTCAATTCAAACGGAGAGTTGGAAACTCTCGCAGATAAGCGGTCTGCAGAGCTGCAGAACGGATTCGGAAGAGCATCATGGAATCCACGCTTTTGCTCTGAGGTTGCATAACAATCCAGAGCAAAGGACCCCTGGGAAGGCGGAGGGCCAGCCTCCGAGCCCCACGGAGACCCCAGCCTCAGAGCAGTCAAGGCCTGCTCTCTCTCCCCCCTGCCCTTTTATTCTCAAGGTGCGCTGATGGTGTGCTCCTCCTCTGGCTGAAGCAGCAAATGCAATCCCTGCGCTGAGTTTGCAATGCCCTCTGCTGGGCTCTGGGGAGCTCCTCACAGCTCAGAGACAGGAGGTGAGAGCAATGGCTGCTTAGGACCCCAGGCCACGCTTGTGACCCCTCTTTTCAGAGCACAGCAACATGCGTGAGGGGGGCAACTGCTTTCCACAGGAAGCTGCCTTATATCAATTCTCCCTCAGAAGGTGGGGGACTTGCCTTCGCCAGAGGTTTTTAAGAAGAGGTCGGTTGGCCCTCTGTCAGGGATGCTTTGGCTGCGATGCCTGCAGTGCAGGGGTGGACTAGATGACTCTGTGGGTCCCCTTCCAACTCCACAATTCTGGGCTTCTATGATTCGCCTACCTGCTGACATCAGGGGGGTGAAGTCAGCCGGTGAGCAGGGCTCCAGGCTCCCAGGTGCTGGAATCGTGCTGGTGGGACTGACCTTTGCAAGCCAAAAAACTGAACCCTTTGCAATCAGCTTGTGAGCAGAGAGGAGATAAGGATCTGGCCTGCCCACCAGAAAAGGATCCATTCCCAATTGTTGCAGGAATTTATGTATAGGTTGGGGGGGGGGAGTTGCCCCTCCAGCAGATATCATGCACATGCAGCCTGCTATCAAAACTAGCACAATCACTTTTGTGACTTTTTTGATTTGTCCCCACAAAACACTTCATCACAGTTTCTTCCAATGCCTATCCAAAGGGCCTTTGCTTCACGATACCAAATGTAAGAATTCACTGATAAATGTTCCTATGTACTGGCTCACTGGAAAACTTCAGAAATTCATATAGACATGTGAGCTCAGCTCCTCAGCAGCCCCTCTGCCTGAGTGATAATCCCTGGCATCCTGATACCTGAGTGGCAGGACAGGTAGCCATTCCAGAAAGAACAAACCCAGATGAAGACCAAAGGGGTGTGGTTAACTTGACTGGGAAACAGGGAAATGTAAATACAGTGGTACTTCGGGTTAAGTACTTAATTCGTTCCAAAGGTCTGTTCTTAACCTGAAACTGTTCTTAACCTGAAGCACCACTTTAGCTAATGGAGCCTCCTGCTGCTGCCGTGCCGCCGGAGCACAATTTCTTTTCTCATCCTGAAGCAAAGTTCTTAACCCAAGGTAATATTTCTGGGTTAGCAGAGTCTGTAACCTGAAGCGTATGTAATCTGAGGTACTACTGTATATCTTTTGCTTCACTTGATGGGTGTTTGTTGGAGGGCAAGGGGAACCATGGGGCAGGGTCCAGGATGCTCAGATTCCTGCCACCAGACCTCCCCTTTCATGATGTAACCATGATGTATGAGTGATGTAGTTTGGGGGGGTGTAACATGGGGATTAGCAGCTAATAAAAGTTTGGGTTCTCTCTTGTTCGGGGCTTCCATCTTGTTCCACTTTGTGGCAGGTGGGAGTCCTGTCGCGACAGTCTTCAATAAAGACCAAGCCTACTGGCTGCTGTTTTGCTCTGGTATTCCTGGCTGGGGTCCTTGTTTTTTGTCCAAGGGAGCCCTCAGATTTCTCCGTTAACACAGTGCAAACAAGCAAGATGCAAAAGGGCAGCTTCTCCGGGTCCCGCAGCTCATGAGGCAGCGGTGCCCACTTTGCAGAGAAGGCAGCCTGGCAGACGAGCTCCCCGATGCCGTTCAGTCGCCAAAAGAGACCGCAGAGGAGCCAGAGGGGCAGAGTTACTGCCACTTCCAAATGGAAGCATCCTAAGAGAGACAGCCCTTCCTGTTCTGGCCACAGCAGCTGGCATGGCAGAGGCTCATTGGGGCGGTGTGTGCCCTGGATTAGACCAGGAGCACCCGAGAACATGCAGGCACCACCCAAAACTTTCCCTGAGTCCAGCAAAGCACTGCTTTTGAGCAGAAGACAGTAAGAAAGGATTCAGTTACACAAGATCCAGGTTTCAAATGGAAGTGATTGAAGGGAAAGTGAAACTACTGAAGGCTGCATATAGCATACTGCTAGAATGGGAGACGAAAGATGAAGAGGTAAAATCAGTCATGATTAAACGGGCACAAGATATATGTCATAACATTATGTTGGAAGATTGGGAAAGGTTATGGAAAAATTGACTTAAAATTTACAGATTGTTCTCTGTTGAAAGAAAATTATATGAAGATGATGTATAGATGGTATATGACTCCAGTGCAGTTTGGAAAAATCTATAAAACCAGTTCAAATATGTGTTGGAAGTGTAAGGAGAAGGAGGGGACATTTTATCATATGTGGTGGGATTGTAATGAAATTAAAAAGTTTTGGGAAATGATATACAATGAATTGAAGAAAATGTTCCATTTAGCATTTGTTTCGGGATTGTAGGAAAAGACCTGCCAAGGAAACTGAAAAATATCTTCATGTATGCAACAACAGCGGTGAGAGTCTTACTAGCACAAGGATGGAAGAATGAGGAAACCCTGACTAAAGAACTATGGCAAGAGAAGCTGATGGACTATGCAGAATTGGCAAATTTGACTTATAAACTACGGGACAAGGATAACTGTGACTTCAAAGATGAATGGGAATCTTTTACAAAGTACTTAAAGAAACAACAAAGTGAACTGGACTCCTTAGCATGTTTTGAATAAACAATAAACAATATTGACAATAACCAGTCAGATTTATACAATTTTGTAAAATGCAGAGAACAGCATCTGTAGAGAAACCAGAGATTGGAGCTGAGGGAAGTCAAGGGAGGAAGGGGAGGGTGGGTAATTTTATGGGGGGGGGATCAAGGATCATATGTATTAAGACAATATGTTTTGTTTAGATTCTTAATAAAAAAAAAATATTTTTTAAAAGCACTGCTTTTGAGCAGGAGGTGCCGTTATCCGACACAAACACATGCAGGGCTCAAGCCGAAGTGCAAAACCAGCCTTGGGCTTCTGAGGACCAGGCGCTCGGCTCAAAGAGATGTTGACGGGGGGGGGGCAGAGATTTGGGAGGTGGGGAGAAAGCAGCAAGGTGCTCTGCGGCCCAGCAGTGAGGGGTCTGTTCCCAGTAACCGTGGGGCGAACTGTCCACCCCCTTCGGCACACAACTTCTGTGGGACAGGGAGCCATACATTTTCCCTCCCTTAGTGGATCTGTGGCTTCTTCCACCCCCCCCAGGCTCAGTATTCCTCCCCCGAACCCCCACTGTCAGCCTCCAAGGGACTTAGGTGAGACTCTCGCTCTGCAGACATTTATGGAGGAAGCGGATGCACTGCATGAACCCTGGGAACTCAGTGGGACAGGACAAAGGCCAGCGGGGAAGGAGCTAAAAAGCCTGGGAAGGAAGTGGACCCAAGAAGAGGCCGGCTGATGGATCAGACCAGAGAGCCCTCAAGCCCAGCATCCTCCTCTCACAGCGGCCGGCCAGAGGGAAAATCAAGACGATTAAGAAAATTAATTAAGAGGAGGGTGCTAGGGAAACTGAGAACACAACACCTCCCAACAAGAATCAGCAGCAGACCCTCTAGCAGAAGCTCTGGGGAAGTCAATGCCAGGCAGGAACACAAGAACTGCAGAACTGTCGAGGTGGAAGGGGCACCCAAAGGTCATCCAGTCCAACCCGCTGGAACGCAGGAGTCACAGCTAAAGAATCTCTGACAGAGGACCAACTTCTGCTTAGAAACCTCTAACCTTTTGGGGGGACAGGGGGCGGGCAGGTGTGGAGGACTCCCTGGTCCTGAATGGGGGAACTGTGCCCCTGAAGGACCAGGTGCGCAGCCTGGGAGTCATTCTGGACTCACAGCTGTCCATGGAGGCACAGGTCAATTCTGTGTCCAGGGCAGCTGTCTACCAGCTCCATCTGGTACGCAGGATGAGACCCTACCTGCCTGCGCACTGTCTCGCCTTTGAAGGTGACCCGGAAACTACAATTAATCCAGAATGCTGCAGCTGGACTGGTGACTGGGAGCGGCCACCGAGACCATATAACATTAGTCCTGAAAGACCTACATTGGCTCCCAGTACGTTTCTGACCACAATTCAAAGTGTTGGTGCTGACCTTTAAAGCCCATAACGGCCTCGGCCCAGTATACCTGAAGGAGCGTCTCCACCCCCATCATTCTGTCCAGACACTGAGGTCCAGCTCCAAGGGCCTTCTGGCAGTTCCCTCCCTGCGAGAAGCAAAGCTACAGGGAACCAGGCAGAGGGCCTTTTTGGTAGTGGCACCCCCCCCGGCGCTGTACCTCAAGTGTCCGGGCAGAACGATCCGGAGGTCCGTTTGTAAACCAAAACAGGTTGTAACCCAAGGCACGCTTTTGCCAATGGGGCCTCCCTCCCCCAAAAAATTGTTCGTAATTGCCCCCCAAAATGGGTTGTAATCCAAAGAAAGGCTGCAAACCGGAACACGCACTTCCGGGTTTGACGTGTTTGTAATCCAAACTGTATGCAAACCAAGACGTATGCAAACCAAGGTACTACTGTATACTTGTCTAGACAAGCTTTTCCAGTTGGGCGAAAAGGCCTCGGCCGCAGGTTTCATAACAATGCAGGTTTTTTTTAAAGCCCTTATCGTTAGATGTTTTTGTTTTCAAAACTATCTTTAAGCTGCTCTTCTGTGAACTGCCTTGAGGCGCACGTGGAAGGTGATCCATAGAGGAACAAAGCAGCGGCCGCGGCAGCAACCTACCTCGCTGGTTCGGAAGATGATCCTGTACTGGTACTGAGGCCCGTGCTCTCGGTGGTCCTCCAGCTTCTCTCGCCGGATGCTGACGGCCACCGGGCCCAGCTTCTCGTCCACCCCAAAGTAGTTGGCATGCTCTGCAGAGAGAAAGAGAGGGAGGGGCAGTGGTATTCATCCAGAACAGCAGCAGAGGTTCCCTGTCTCAAGACACACACACACACAGACACACACAGACACACACACACACACAGCATGCTGGAAACATGGGAGCCAAACATTGGCTGAGCCCAGCAGTGCCCAAATTGGGGAGTAACACCCCCTGGGGTGCTTTGGGATTACCTAGTGGGGTGCTAAGAGGCAAGGAGGTGATCGAGGGGGAGCATGGGAGGCTGAACCCTCCAAGTGCATGGATCCCTTGCTCCTGCCTTGCAGCGGGCTGGACTAGAAGACCTCTGGGGTCCCCTTCAACTCTGCAATTCTAGGACGAAACACCTGCCTCGCTTCATATTTGAAGTTCTCCTGCTCTCGTTGCTTTCAACCCTATTTCCTTTGTGCTTGCGATGCCGAGTTCTCACAAGAGAGCCAGTCACTGGTAACAGCGGTTGATTAACTTATTAATTAGTTATTGTACATCTGTGGCAGGTGAAGGTTTATGTTTATGTTTGGCAAGTAGCTATATATCAAGATTTCACGCTATGAATTCTTTTGCACCCTTATGCTTTTTGTAGGAATGCCTAACAATATTTTTTCACACAATACTCTTTAGCTAAGAATATCAGATCAGACCATAGTTTAAAAATGTCTGCCATAGTCCAAAGTTAATTCCATTTTCACTGCGTGTGTTTCTCCTTCTTGCATACTGGGCCAAGTGAATTGTTGCGAGAGCAAGCTACAGTCCAGCGATGTCGTTGAGATAATAGAACTGTAGCTTTGCAAGGCAAGGTCATCTAGTCCAACCCCCTGGCGAAGAGACATTCCGTTGTGGCAATCGTAACCCAGATTTAAGGTGCCAGTTGCCACCTAGCTTATATATCTGAATTTCTACCACTGCTGTCAGGGATTCTTAAAGAGAGCCATCCAAACTTTGCTTAGAAACCTCCAAGGAAGGAGAGTACTCTGCCTTCCAAGGTCACAGAACTCTAGAGCTGTCAAGGAAATAAACAACTATCTGACTTTTAGAAGACATCCGACGGCGGTCTTGTACTGGGAAGTTTTTCCATGCTTGACTGTGCTTATAGTTTTTAATCTGTTGGAAGCTGCTCAGAGAGGCTGGGATAACCCACCCAGATGGGCAGCATATCCATAAATTATTATTATTATTAACCCCAAGGGTCATCTAGTCCATTACGTTGTACCTGCCTTCTATATCTGCCTTTCCAACACTGCACATAAATACATCATAAATCCACTTTTAGAAGACATTTTTCTTTTTTCCTTTCTCCTCCTGTGATGAGGCTGCATTTTAATCTTAATGTTTCAATGTTGTATTTTAATCTTGTTTTTTAAGTTGTATCCATTCAACTTGTTTTTATTATTGCTTGTTAGCCGCCCTGAGCCCGGCCTTGGCTGGGGAGGGCGGTGTATAAATAAAATTTATTATCATTATTATTATTATTATGAAGGCCACCCTGTATAGGGATATCTTTAATGTCTAATGTTTTATAATTTTTAATGTGCTGGAAGCAACCCAGAGTGGCTGGGGAAACCCAGCAGGGTGGGCAGGGTATAAATAATAAAATTATTATTATTATTATTATTATTATTATTATTATTATTATTCCAACTAAGCCCAAAGAAGAACTTCCTTGCGGCAAGAGCTGTTTCAGAGTGAGATGGACTCCCTCGGAAGGTGGTGGGCTCCCCTTCACTGGAGGTTTCCCAAGCAGAGGTTGGCTGGCCATCCATCAGGGATTCTTTCGCTGAGATTCCTTCATTGCAGGGGGTTGGACTAGATGGCCCCTGGGTGCCCCTTCCAGCCCTACAATTCTGTGCTCCACCTACTGAGCAATTGGTTGCCTTTTTCCAGGAGTTATTATCATCAAATAAAGAAGCTCATCATCATCATCATCATCATCATCAAATAAAGAAGCTAAACAAATTCCTGAGCAATGTCTGGTTGCCACAGGGGCAGCTCAAGACCCCCCCTCCTGGCCCACCCTGCCAGGGCAACCCCAGAGCGGCGCCCACCTTTGCCACAGAAGTGCTCCTGGTAGTAGCGGGCGCCCAGGTCGACGTGCTCGATGCTGTAGTGCTTCAGCCGCGCCACGTTACGCTGAAGTTCCTTGGGCACCTCCAGGACGGAGACGCTGGCATTGGTGCAGCACGGGGCGGGGGACGCCTCCGCCAGGCCGCCCCCTCCTGCCCCTGCGGCCTCCCCGCCAGGAGAGCCAAGGGAGGCGGGCGAGGCCCGCGAGAAGCTGACGTCGCGCTCGCGCTCCCCGCCCACCTCGTTGCGGAAGTGCGGGCAGCTGAGCAGGAGCCCGTTGCTGCGGCTGTCCCCGGGGTCGTGCCCCAGGTGCTCCTTGAAGTTCGGGTCCTCGGAGCCGAGGAAGGGGGCCGCCGCAGGCTCCGGGGGGCCGCAGGTCCGCGAGGCGGAGGAGACAGCTGAAGCGGCCGAGGCCCCTGTGGCGGTGTTCCTCCTTTGCGCCACGTAGGCCCGCCGCGCCACCACCTCATTGAGGTCAAAGAGCATGCTCTGGACGTCGTAGTGCGCAAATCTCTTCTGGCACAGCCAGGGCCGCCCGCCTGCGTCCTCGGGGTCCGGAGGGCCACCCTTGCCGCCTTCGGGGTCTCCCCGGCCGCTCCGCAGCTTCCGGAAGATGGAGTCCCCGCCGCCCGCATCGCCCCGGGGTCCCTTCTTGCGGGACTTCTCCTTGGGCTGCAGGGGGAACTCGTCCGCGCCCAGGAGGGAGAGCGCCTGCTGCTCACTCCGGGCCTCGGCTTTGCTGCTGCTGCCCCGCGCCGCACGGAAAGACCCCGCCTGCTCCTTCCGCCGCACCATCTTCCCACTGCGAAACTCATCAAGCATTTCGTAGAAGCTTTGCTCCGAGACGCCCTGAACGTCGATGGAGGAGGTGCTCCCGTACTCCCGGAAAATGGGCAGCTTGGCACCAGCCCCCCAGGGCTCAAACACCTCCTGCGGGTCACACTCACTGAGCGTGACCTCGCTGCTGCTCCGGTTCCGAAGAGGCAGGAAGCCCCGGGCCGGGGACCGCGGCCAGCCGTCAGGGAACTCCGCGTCCTTAGAGCGCCGCCGAGCCAGGCGCTGGAAGCCCCGGGACGTCCCAGTGAAGGCGGCCCCATTCTGGAAGCCGCGGGAGCCCGTGGTTGGCGTCTCTAGGTCTCTTGAAGTGCTGCTGGCGGCAGTGGCGGGATCTTTCAGCCCTTCTCTCTTTGGCGGCCAGTCGGCGATCCTGGCCCGCACGCCCATTTTGGGCATGGCCGGGGTGGCCGTTGCCGGCCGCGAGGAAACGGGCGCCTCCGCTTGCGCGGCACAGCCATTCTGGGCCCAGAACCCCGGGGAGTAATAGTCGCCGCCTTTCAATCCGGGGCCCCCCACGTCGCCGCTCTCGTGAACAGGCCGGTACGATGTCATAGTCCAAGGGAAGCGAGGACTGCGACTCCCTGTTCGAAGGGGCCACTCATCCCCATCGGGGAACGCAGACGTCAGCCGTGACTGGGGGGCAAGGCGCCATGGGACGCCAGCCCGCGAGAGCCCCCCTCGGGGCTCCCTGCTGGGGGATCGGCCCCTGCGGCCATCGCACTGGCGAGCAATCCTCAAGGCGCCCCGGCATTTGCAGGAGGAGGCAGCTGGGGAGGAGGGCTGTCAGAGCTTCTTCCGGCAAACCCCAGGCTAATCCGGTGACGTTAACCGTGGGAACGTTTCACTCTGGGCCATCCCTGCAGGAGAGGAGGGAAGAAAAGAAAGAGAGGTTAGCGAGGGAGGCCCTGGTCATGTCACCGGCAGCTTTCAGATTCACAGAAAGATAGAATTGTGGGGTTGGAAGGGCCCCCTAAGGGCCATCTAGCAAACTCCATACATTGCAGGAAACACAGGTCAAGAATCCCTGACAGGCAGCCATCCAACCTCTGTGTAAAAGCCTCCGGTGAAGGAAAGTCCGCCACCTTCCAATAATAATAATAATAATAATAATAATATTTTATACCCCGCCCATCTGGCTGGGCTTCCTCAGCCACTCTGGGTGGCTTCCAACAAAATATTAAAATACCATAATGCACCAAACAGTAAAAACTTCCCTAAACAGGGCTGCCTTCAGATGTCTTCTAAAAGTCAGGTAGTTGTTCTTCTCTTTGACATCTGGGGGGCATTCCACAGGGTGGGAGGAGCCACCACCGAGAAGGCCCTCTGCCTGTTCCCTGTAACTTGGCTTCTCACAGGGAGGGAACCGCCAGAAGGCCCTCGGCGCTGGACCTCAGTGTCCGGGCAGAACGATGGGGGTGGAGACGCTCCTTCAGGTATACTGGGCCGAGGCCATTCATGAGCTTTAAAGGTCAGCACCAACACTTTGAATTGTGCTCGGAAACACAAGGATGTCTGCCCTTCCGTCAAACAGCTCCTATCCTGAGAAAGTTCCTCCTCATGTTTAGTTGGAGTCACACGCTGGCAAGCTCAAACTCCACGACCATGAGGGACTCGCAACTCCACCCCACCCCTACGCTGTTCCCGGCAACGCAGACTCAGGAGAAGTCTGGACAGAGTGTGGGCGGCCGTGGCTCCAAAGGACATTTGAGCTCTTTCCTGCTCTTCAGAGTGAGTCAGTAGATGCCATTGTCCACAGATGCCGGACGAGTCCAGCAGCATCACGCCATCTCGGAAACCCTACTGGGGCACCTGAAATACGTCCCAACCATTTCACGGACTCTCCTAAGAATGTAAGACAAGGAATTGCTGGATCAGGCCCAAGGGGGCCCATTGAGTCCAGCACCCTGTTCTCACAGCAGCCAACCAGATGCCCCATTATCCCCATGGATAGATAGATAAAACTTTATTCGCATTAGCCAATGGCCACAGCAACAGTAAAACATTACAGTATACGAACAGAAAAGGAAGTTTGATATAAGAGCACATTTAATCTGAATCACCGTCATTATGCCTTATTTGACTCCTGCTATGAAGCATATAAAATATAATAATAATAATAAAATAATAATAAAATAAGTATAATTTATTATACCCACATTGGCGGGCTCCGCACCTGGGGCTTCCAAAAGAATTAAAATACTATAACACCAAACATAAAGCTCCCGGCTGCCTTGATGTCTTGCCTGTAGTGTTGTTCTCTTTGACATTGGTCACGGTGCACAGGAGACGCCACTACAAGCCTCTGCCTGTTCCCTGTACTTGTTCTGCATGAGACCGCCAGAATCGGAGCTGACTCGTGCCCGGTAGAACGATAGGGGTGGAGACGTCCTTCGATATAGGACCAGGCCGTTAGGCTTTTAGGTCAGACAACACTTTGAAGTGTCGGAATGACTAGCAACCTTTGCTGTTATTGCTCATTTGATAAAGAGGAATTGCAGTGTGAGCGCCCTGGGATGGTTAGGACGAGTGGGGTGATGATCTCGTTCCTCAGGTCTTTGTAGAGAGCGCAAGACAGGAGGACGTGTGCCGCTGTTACGGTGCTACCGTCTCCACATGGGCAAAGACGTTTCTCAGGCAGGATCTTTTGGAATCGACCCTCGAGTACCGCAAGATGGCAAAACATCCAGTCTTGCAAGTGTAAAAGCACGTCTGCATTCTGGGATAATAAGTTTGTGCAGATACGGGGCCAGAGAATCAAAATGGAGAGGTGGAAATTGAACATACCGAGGGCAGAATTTCCTTAAAGTGGCCAGGTGGTTCTGATGCTCAATATCGTTGACCAATTAGACTGTTTGCTTTAGTAGGGCCCATAGTAAGTAGGTGTGGTGGGGCCTATCCCCGTGGATCTAGGGGCGGTTCACAACATAAAAAGCCCCCCCCCCCCCGTGAATGTGCCTGGGAGAGTCTGTGGGGCTGGCAGCCTCAGGGGCTGGAGTCCCCTGCAAAGCCTTGGACTGAAACCACAAGCCCAGCCTGCACAGGAAAGCAGTAAGTTGGCACTTCACACAGAGTCAGGCTTTTGGTCCTCTAAGCTCAGGACTGCCTCCACTGGCTGGCTTTGACAGTCCTCCTGGGTCTCACGCAGGGAATCTTCCCCCCACCTAGAGATGCTGTCACCAAACGCCGCCCCTTCCCCATGAGCAAGAAGACAAAGGAAAGGATACATTCACGCAGTTCCTACTTAAACTGTGGAACTCCCTCCCACAGGAACATGGATGGCTTTGAAAAAGTACTAGGCAAATTCACAGGGGAGAAGAGGGCTGCTACTACTACTAATAATAATAAATAAATTTTAATTTATACCCTGCCCTTCCCGGTTCGGAAAACCGGGCTCAGGGCGGCTAACAACAAATTTAAAACACTTAATTGATGGAACAAAAAACAGCATAAAATACAGTATAAAATGTGAATAACAATAAATTCGGAATTCAAAAATCAATTTAGGGGGGAAATCCATCCAATAAACATTCGATGATCACCAGGGCTAGCTGGCTAAATTAGTCCTATTTGGGCCGGCGAGGAGACCAAGGGAAAATTAACTGTGGGATCCCAGAGCGGATAATCTTCATAAAAAGGGGAGGGGGAGGGAAGGAAGGGGAATAAAAGAATAAAAGGCTAAGTTCAAGTTGAAAGCCAGGCGGAATAGCTCTGTCTTACAGGCCCTGCGGAAGGAAGTTAAATCCTGCAGGACCCTGGTCTCATGGGACAGAGCATTCCACCAGGTCGGAGCCATCACTGAGAAGGCCCTGGCCCTGGTGGAAGATAATCTGGCTTCCTTAGGGCCCGGGACCTCTAGACTATGGTTATTCATGGGGCATACCAGGAGAGGCAGTCCCGTAAATACTGCTTGCATGTTTCCCCACAAGAGACCCTGTGAGAACAGGAGCCTATGCTAGATGGGCCATTGGGCTGATGCAGCAAGATCTTCTTAGGTTCTTTAAGGGGTGTGTGGAGCTACATCCTTTGCCCGTGTCCTGCCTGCAACCTTCGGGGACACCTTTCCCGCAAAGCAAATCCTCAGCTGCGCCCCTTCCGCACCCCTGCCTCCCTTTCCCGTACAGACACAAGCTGCTCTTTAGAAATGTCAGGCTGGGGGTGTGCAGCCCACGTTCCTCAGCCCAGCAGGTGGTGAAAGAGGCTCCCACCCGGAGGATGGCAGCAGATCTGTACTTTCACAGCCTGCCACCAACCTGCTGGGGGGGGGATGGCAGGAGGCCTCACAGAGCCAAACCCCCAGCCCTGTGCTGGGGAGGGGTGTGTGCTCCTCTTAATTCTATTCCCCCGGCCCCCCTCAAATGCTCCCCCCACCCAGGTGGTGTCTCCGGTGATGGCAGCAGCCTCCTCTTAGAGGGCAGGGCTGGCAAGGAGGCTCCCCACCACACAAAAGCCCATTTGTCTGGCTCTGGGAACAGGGCACCGCTACCCTCCTTGACAACCTCACCATGTCTTCCTTGGCTCGGGCGCCCAGGGCCCTGCGAAGCGGAGGCAGCTAGGGTGACGTCACCCTCGCAGGCGGGGAGTTTCCTTCTGTAGCACAGGGATGCCCCGAGGCCACGTAGAGGCGGCCTTCAACCAGCTTCCCTCTCGGCCTGCTGGGGCTTGCTTGGTTCAACGAGGGCAGAGGAAGCCCTTCTGCCACATTGGCCCAGGCAAGCAGCATCCTAAGTAGAGCCTGCAGGATGAGGCCACATCTAGTCCAGCGGCTCTCCCAGGGGCCAAACAGTTGCCTGTGATCAGAAACATTGTTCTGCCTCTGCAGCTGTAGGCAGCAGAGTTATTATCATGGCTAGCAGACATTGATAGACTTGTCTTCCATAAATTTGTCTAGTCCTGTTTTATAGCGATCTATGTCAGTGGCGGGACGCGGGTGGCGCTGTGGGTTAATCCACAGAGCCTAAGACTTGCTGATCGGAAGGTCGGCGGTTCGAATCCCCGCGACGGGGTGAGCTCCCGTTGCTCGGTCCCTGCTCCTGCCAACCTAGCAGTTCGAAAGCACGTCAAAGTGCAAGTAGATAACTAGGTACCACTCCGGCGGGAAGGTAAATGGCGTTTCCGTGCGCTGCTCTGGTTCGCCAGAAGCGGCTTAGTGATGCTGGCCACATGACCTGGAAGCTGTACGCCGGCTCCCTCGGCCAATAAAGCGAGATGAGCGCTGCAACCCCAGAGTCGGCCATGACTGGACCTAATGGTCAGGGGTCCCTTTACCTTTTATGTTGGTGGCCTTATCATGGCTGGCAGCCATCAGCAGCCCTCTCCTCCGTGAACGTGTCTGATCTTCTTTTCAAGTTATCCAAGTTAGTGAGCATTGCTGCCTCCTGTGGCAGGGAGTTCCAGAGTCTGCACTGCGTACATATGCTCTTTATTTAATCCGTCCTGACTCTCCCAACATTCAGCTTCGTGGGATGCCCATGGGTTATGAGAGACGGAAAACACCTTTCCCCTCTCTGCACCGTTTTATAATGTCACCTCTTCCTCGCCTCTTTTCCGAAGGCCAGAGAGGGTCAAATGTCCACAAGGAAGGGGAAGTTCACTGCCTAAGCAGGAAGCGCACTTGCAGTTCCCGAGAGGCTGCCTCTACTCCACCACGGCCCCGCCTGCCTCTTTGGAGAAAACCTGACCAGCTTCCAAGCTGCATATGTGTCAAGGGCGCAGTGCTCTGAGCGAACAACCCTGGGCTGCCGGATGTTCAGGTCCCACAAGCCACTTCAGTCCAACTCAATAGCTTTATTGTTCTAGCCCAAGGCCATGACAACTTCGTAGCAATAGTATTGATGAAATAATGCAGAACAGACATACAGGAGACAAACCAACATCCGAGCAGGAGAGAAA